TTCTTCGTGAATACTTCGGAGCTGATTAGCCCGGTGAGTGCAGAAGTTTCAAGCTCATCAAACAGGGACCCAGTTTACGGAGCCCAAGGCATGCACTATGGGAAATACCGGAGCTCCCAGAGTCAGAGACCCCATTGTTACGTTATCGGCAGGAGAATCCAAGCAATGATACACACCAGAATTTACGAATGCTAGCCAGTCTTGCGATGACATGGAAGGTAGCCACGGTAAGGGGACAGGTGGAAGCACCGCACACAGTCTCAGGGTGGCTCCTCTCTTCGATCCAGTGGTACAGGCTTGCACTGCACTGAATGTCGCAATCTAGTCCAGCTCGGAGTCTCCGGTGGTCGCAGAGGGAAGGAAGAGATAGGCGTCCCGAGTGTGTGGTCGAGAGAGGGGCGCCTATTATTCCCTTCCCGCAAACTCTCTACAAGCGAATCGTGGGTCGAATTCACCCACCGTGGAAATCTATTGTATCTGAAGACCAAGATCCTGAGGCAGCGCCGCTTGTGCCACATGGAGAGAACCTCTAATCAGGCTGCATAATGCCGCAGAGGTGGTACAAGAGAGATTGCGGCGCATCACGAAATCCGGTACCCTTACTTGCGGCCTAAGGCGGATTCGACAAATTGGAACCCGCGGCCCAGAAGTCTCCCTCGGACTCAAGTACGAGGCTGAGTAAGGGAAATCCCTATCTTTCGACCATTTGATGGCGTAGAAATGCAGTGCCACAAGATGCATATGTACCACAAGGAAGGATAATCGATAGTATAATTTTCACCATAGGAAATCCTGCATTGGATACAAACAATATGCTGGCAAGGTGTGAAGAGGAGTTGCGCAGCTTGCGGCAACACAATCCGAAGCCAGTGCTTCGACCGCGTATCCCTTTTCCTAGCGGTTGCCGCCTGACATTGGAGCCTGTGCCAACTGATCAAGTACCTGCTGCAACGGTGCAGATTGTCAAGGGCCTGTGCAGTATTCCTCCGACACTTTTAACTATGTTTACAGGCTGGTTGGATGTGCCAACTCGGCTGCACATTATGATTCGTACACATAAGTGCGCATGATCGCCGTCTGGCTCTTATTATGGTTCAGCCTGGAGGATCCTGTGATTTCATGGTTCTCCTGCCGCTACTTCTAATCCTATAGCTACACGAACTCTCTCTCCCAGCATCCGGCGCAGCTTGTAGTAGGCCTACATCTGTGGCGCAGAATCCTCATGTCTCCTGTGCCAAGTGGGTAGGCGTTAACCGGACACACTAACCGCAGATTGGGGGGGGATCCAGATCATTGTGGAACGTGTATGCTTGAGTATATTGCAAACGATGGCTCATTTACTCTTTATGCGGCAAAGTCGGGGCCACTGACGGTGATTCTGAAGGCTTAGTGGTGAGTCAAAATACCAACAGTAGTTCATATGGAAGCTTCCATTGTCTCTTTGGTCGCTGTGGCAGAGGCGATTGCGGCAAGCTTGGAGCAGTTGCTGGTACAATGTACCCGCTTCCTTCCTTGGTTCGGAACAAACTCTATATAAACTGACCGGTCTCGCCGTTGGAGGCCAACGAATACAAATCCTAGCCAGGGGACACTCAAGCCACAAGTAAAATCTATTGTCATATAACACTCAATGTCTGCTCCCACCAAACAATTTCACGGCCTTTCAATAACCGGTGATATGCCGACGACACGCTCCCAGCCCGAGAAAGAGCCACACACAGACGATAGCGACAGCAGCGAGCTCCTGAGAAGCGAAAGTGAGGAGAGTCATGCTGAGGAGGGGGATTCAGCTGCCTCTTCGTCCGTACGAGGAAAGTCAGGGATCACCTATGATCTCGCCAGGCTTGACTCCGACACCGAAGCCAGGGCTCTCGTTGGGCTAACGAGTCAGTTCAAGGTAGTCAGCTGCTGTACGACACGAACAGGGTTTGATTTCCAATTCATTGAGCAGCCCCGAGTTCATCTCGGTCCAGAAGGGTATACGTGCACCTGCTCGACCTTCTCAGGCAGGCCCAACGTGGCCTGCCAGCACATTTTTGTGAGCAACCTCATGCCCCCACCTCGAGTAAAATTTTCCTCTCTCTCTTCCGGTTTCCTAACACTCAGTGAAAGTGGCTTCTTGATCAGCTTCATGGCTGCTTCATCCCTCAACCTCCTCCCTCCGACATTCTTCTGTCGAGCGATGGACGTCTTCCAAACTTTGGTCGCGTTGAACAACTGCTGGATGGCAAGCTGGAGACCATTGCGGATCAGCTGAGTTGGCAATATGTTCGCTCCGAAGCCGAAGGTGGGATGAGCCGGCAGGACATAGTCCGGGACATCTTGTCGGCCTTTAGTACGGTGATACTGCCTGAGGAGTTTCGTCTCGATCTTCTTGATGATGCAGGACAGTCGCGTACCCCTGAGCAGTGTGTTGTACAGGGAGACTTTGAAGCCACAATGTTTCGGCTCGCCGTGCACGACGACGGAGTATATTCCAGCCTATGCAAGGCGATGCCCATTGCAGCGTGCGCCGTGATCTTCTTTGACAAAGTGCATCAAAGGCTGCGGAAGCTACTAGCAGACTTCGACCGCTATTGCCTGATGGGACAGGCTTCAAATAAGGCTGGAGGAATGGACGTGGAGACTGTCATTCTGGAAATTCAAGAGAACGTCGAGCGCGTCCGGGAAAACATCATCGCTCGAGCACCGCATGGTATGGAAGGGGCTGCGAAGACCCTGGTCACATTGCTGGAGGATATCTGCGGCCGTAATAAGGATGCGCTGGAGGGGAACGAAAGTGGTCGAGTGACATTCCACGGGGAGGATGAGGATCAACGCAATCTCTTTCACCAGCTTATTGGCAAGGCCGATGAAACTGGTGAATTTTTTATCCTCGATGCCTTAGAGCATGTACCAGCTATGGCTCTTCACCAATTCGTGGGCAGGTTGAAAGCTATTCTACACCGGATTGAAGTGGACCGAGCACCCAAAGCCTATATACTGAGACTCGATGCGTTGATACGTGCTGCGGAGTCACCTATTGCCAATGCAGGTCAAAAGCGACCGTCTTCATCTACAAGTCGGGGCTACAGCAAACGCACACGGTGAGGAATCTCAGGGTTTCATTCCCCTACTTTGGAGTGAATTACCAGTAAATTCTGTTATTGCATGGTTTGGGCGGCTTTGTCATTGATACGCACTATACACCACTGTTTGCATTGCGAAGCGCGAGACTGTTTCAATTTGATTAACCTGATAGATTAGCTACAACAATTCTCTTGGTCCTACTATACAGCTAGCCTGGCACCGGTCCTCTACCCATGACGTGATGATAGCCTTTCCCTTTTGCCTCTTAAGCTTCTGCGTTGTTCCTTTTGCAAGGGAATAGCACCGCCACGGGCTACCACGGTACTGTCCAACTTTGTTAGCGGGATGTGACACAAGCACCAAAGCAGCTCCCAGACAGTCCCATGGTTGCATTCGTACCAGAGGAATGTGTCCTGGCATGATCACCCAACCTTATTACCACTTACTGCGTGCTTCAGGACCCGAGGGAACGGTTCAAATTCCGAACGGCCGCCCCAGGACCAAGGTTATCATCCCTAAACCGGCCATTAAGCAAGGGACAACAGCCTGGTTTTCCCTCGCACCCAACTACCCATTCCAAATCTACTCTTTTTCTGGTATCATTGAATCGCTGGGTCGGTTTCCCCGAAGCAAAGCGCCCTTTCAAATTTTTGTTCATGACGTCGGCCGTGAGTTCTGGCAGGTAGACCAATGAGGTTCTCCCGGATAAAGTTTCACATGTCCTACTATTTCACTCTGTACATACCCATGTCTGAGTGAGACCCTCTTTACCAGCTGCTCGGTACTCGGGCCCGTGGACTTGGTACTTAGTAGTGGTCGTTGTCGGGCAGAAATTGCGCAGTAGTACGTAGCTATGAAGTTATCTACCATCAAAATGCAGCATTGAGGAACTGTTTTGAGTAATTGATCCCTTCTTTCAGAGTCGTGCTCTAATTCCTCCGAATGAGCTCATTAATCGCTATAGTTACTGAACAATTCTCCGACCTTTCCCCTAATCAATACCCTTTCTCCATTTCCAGGCTATTAAACTTCTTGGCAGTGCGCACACAAGAAGGAAGCCGACGTATGCCACCACCACCTCCGTCCTAGCACTAGTTACCACTACAAGTAGTTAAACTTCAATAGATACTACCCTGCAGATCCTCCGTAACATCCCTATCCTCTTATTTATCGCCCAGAAGGTAGGCCAAGCAATTCAAATCCCCGCAATCTGTGAGCAAAGGGAAAAACGAGAACAATCTCATTTCTACCTAAAAAGATACCAAATACACAGAATTATGTTGACAGTTTGCCACTAAAACCACCATTTACTTACTACCACAGCAAAACACCCCCACACCGCCCGACCGGCAGGTCCTACCGAGCCTCGTCCCGGAAATAAGCGGATTTAGGAAGAAGACATACAGGCCTGGGAGGATTGTTGCGACCTGTGCCACCAAAGCGTCATATGCGTGTCCATGTGTGTGTGTGGGTGGTTAAGTCTGGCTTATGTAGGCAAAGATGTGCCGCTATCTTCAACAATTGGCCGGCTGGCCCAATGGTAAGGCGCTTGACTACGGATCAAGAGATTGCAGGTTCGAGTCCTGCGTCGGTCATTCTTTTTTGCTTTCTTTTTTTTCCCTTTCCTTCGTGTATCTTTCTTTGTCTTGTCGTTTGGACTGTTTCGTGAATCCTTTCTTATTGAGAGTTGAGTGGGTAGGTTGGTTAAGTTCTGTTGTTGCATAGCAAGCAGTTTATGTGTCTTCGTGTGAGATTCTTTGTTGTCGGTCTTTTGTCTCTGATCATGAAATCGTTATTTGTTTTACTAGTCTCAAAAAGCTGTTTTCTTTGAGTGCATTCATTCATCGTGTTTGTTCAAATATACTTAAAACTTCCACTGGACCAGCTAACTCCGAAAATAGACCAACATCAAGCCACAGACATCGATCACATTAAGACAAATCGAGAACAACCCTCCCCTGCAACTTCCCCTGGCTCATCTCCTCGAAAACGCCGGTCAAAGCATCCATCTTCTCCGTCCGGAAATGGGCCTTAATGATTCCCCTCGCCGCGAAATCCAGTGTCTCGATCGCATCTCTCTGTGTCCCGACCGCCGATCCGGTAATGGTATAATGCTGAGCGATCATCTTCCCGGGAAACGCGGTCGCAATAGGTTGCGGTGCGTTCTCAGGGATCCCCACACACACGAGGGTACCGTTGAAGCGCAGGAATGGTACTGCCTGGGCATAGGCTGCGTTGGCTGCGGTGCATACGATGACGGCGTGAGCTCCCAGGCCACCGGCTAGGGATTTGACATGGCTGGCGATGGCTTGGCCCTTGTCGTCGGAGGGGAACTTGGTGATGTCGACGAAGTGCTCAGCTCCGGAGGCCTTCACTAGTTCTTCTTTGCTGCCGTGGTCGACTCCAATCACTCGGAATCCCATGCCTTTGCTGGCGAGTTGCACGGCTATATGGCCTAGGCCGCCTCCAGCGCCGGAGATCACAACCCATTGCCCTGGTCGGGCGTTGCTGCGCTTCAGGGCCGCGTAGACGGTCACGCCGGCGCAGAGCATCGGCGCTGCTTCGTCTGATGCGAGGCCGTCTGGGATCGGTGTCACGTAGTTGGCGGGGCCTAAGGCGTATTGCTGGAATGTACCGGGGGTGTAGTATCCGGAAACCTTCTGCTTAAAGCAGATTCCGTCGGCGCCCGCCTGGCATGGTTCTGGTAATTGGAAACGTCAATATGGCCTGCTCACATTATGGGGCTAAGATAACTGGATGCGCACCGCAAGTCTTGCATACGCTAGAAACCCATTTGATTCCAACCCGGTCACCGATCTTCAGGCCTGAAGACTCGGCTCCAGGGCCTAGCTTGACAATCTTACCGACACCTTCGTGGCCGCCAATCTGACCTGGCTGTGTGGGATAGGGTAGAGATCTCCACTGGACGAGTCAGGAGGGTGCTTGGGCCAGAGGTAGGTTTATATACTTACGGTGTTGGTCATTACTCCAAGATCGGAATGACAGACGCCTGAATGGGTTCTACAGAAAGCCATTAGTCCGATGGATGCACTCGGTGACTGGATGAATTATGTCCAGTCGACTGGGGCTAGAAGGTCACACCACATACAGATTGATCAAGACCTCGCCCGTACCCGGCTCGGGCACATCTATCTCTACGACCTTGGTGGAGACAGTGCCGGGCTGGTCATAGATGGCCGCCTTTTGCTTTGCAGGGATTTCTGGTACAGCTGTACTGCCATTGGCATTATCAATAGGCACAGTCATCTTCGTAGTGTACTGATATCTTCGGTGTTGCACGGAGAGGAAGGAGGGCCGATGAAGAGTGCGAGGAGCGAGACTCAGAAGCTGCAGATCAAGGAAGCAGCCTCTCTTTATCACTGGGGGACCCAGCCGACGCGCTAAAGGGACTGGGATCATCCTGATGGATCATTGTTGAGACGGGCCAAGAAAGGCGTATCCCATGCTGGTGTGGATAGTTGATTCAAGGAAGCAATAAAGGTCGTATGTAGCCGTAGCCGAGGCACAAGCTGGAGGCGAGTCACATCGTCATTCACCGAACCCCTCTTTTTCCTCGCATACAGAGCACGCTTGATTTGCCAACTGCCAGTGAAATGAGAAGCCAGTTCAACGGAATTCCGGATATCAACCCCGCCATTACCTAGGCATCATTTGAAAGAACCCCGCATTTGAAGTCAGATTGTGTCCGTTGTGGAGTGTGATTGGCGAGGAGTGACGGACAGCCCCAAAATTGTGGTTCAGTCGTGGAGTTTGGGGAGAACACAAAACTGAGGACAAGCCCAGAGCAATCTACCCCGGTATATAAAGCTGCCACTGTAGCTGCCGAAGGTCCTCAGTAATTGCCAAGGGGTCTAGCCAATGTGAGAGGGAAGCAGAGGGCGAGAGAGAGTAGAGTGAAAGAAGATTGGTCGCGATGTGCCTTATGGACTGCCAGCGCTCGGGCTAATGCATCCCCGATCATCATCCCCTCGCCTGCTGACTCGAATTGCATGATGCCCACCAGAGCTGGATCACTAGTTCCCCTCCTTTGATAGTTGTTCCTACTCTCACGTATGCTGCTTTTCAGCTTTGTAGGTTTTCTTTTCTTTCTATAATCTCACCTCCCATTATCCATCCCAAGCACTCGCTCAACCCCGCATTCTCGGGAAGATCACCAGCTCGACCCCTCACAAGCACACGAAACACGAACACAAACAAAGAAAGAAAAGAGAAAACTACACCCACGACAATGCCAACCCCAATCATCGACTCCCACATCCACCTCTTCCCAGCATCCCATCTCCCCACGCTGGCCTGGTATACACCCTCCAGCCCACTAGGATCCCAGCACTCCGTCGACGAATACCGCCTCGCAACCACCTCCATTCCCACATCCCCGGAACCAACAACAGACTCACATTACCTACGGGGCTTCATCTTCCTCGAAACCGACCGGATCTCCTCAATTGAAGAATCAGATCCAACCCGTGGCTGGTCCCACGCCCTCGACGAAGTCTCCTTCCTCACCCGGATCATTACCGGAGACCCCGTCCCCGGGGAAGGCCACAAAGATGTAGATCGCCACATCTGTCTAGGTATGGTGCCCTGGGCGCCTGTTCCCGGAGGTCCTGCTGCGCTGGAGAAGTACATTTCTCTAGTGAGAGAAAGGACTCGCACGGAGGAAGTATTCAGAAAAGTCCGCGGAGTGCGGTACCTCGTTCAGGATAAGCCGAGCGGAGTCATGTTGCAGCCCGAGTTCATTGATGGGTTGAGGTGGCTAGGACGGCAGCAGTTGGCGTTTGATCTGGGGGTGGATGCTCGTCAAGGTGGCATTTGGCAGTTGAGGGAGGCGGCGGAGATGATGAATACGGTTTATCGGGGGGTTGGGGAGAAGAAGGATAGGGTTAGGATCGTTATTAGTATGTTCATCCACGACCTTCTGCTTCTATCTTTGAGTAGAGTTTATGGTTGGTATTTGCTTGTTGCTAACGAGCCGTCTACAGATCACCTGTGCAAGCCAAACCTTCGTCTGCCGTACACATCGCCAGACTCGATAGCTACGCATCCTGATTTCCTGGAGTGGAGCTCCCTGATCACAGCCATGGCACAGCATCCGACAGCGTATATGAAGCTTTCCGGTGGATTCTCGGAGCTTCCCCCGCTGACGGCGGAATCGGAGCCGGATATTGCTGCCCTAGTCGACCAGGTCCAGCTGTGGACGGACGTGGTCTTTGATGCATTTGGGCCGGAGAGAGTCATGTTTGGGTCTGACTGGCCGGTGTGTAATGTGGGTGGAGGCGGCAGTGCAGTCGCCTGGAGACGGTGGAGGAGTGTGGTGGAGGGCATCTTGGAGAAGAGGGGCTTGTCGCAGGAGCAGAAGGAGGGTGTATGGGGAGGAGTTGCAGTCAAAGCATATGCGATTGAAATCTAGATAGTAGTACTTGATTCGATTCATATGCTAGAAGTATGTATGTACACCGATCGCCATAACCAAGTATGTCCACATCAGAGAGATCATCACAATAATATCGTTTCATTTACTGAAGATTCACGAAAAGCCCCCCATCCACAAGTATCTGCGCCCCAGTCTATTGATTCACATTAGCAGCCTCTTCCAGAACATCCAACATAAAGCTGAGAGAAGAAAACTTACCACATAACCACTCAACTCCTCACAAGCCAAAAACACCGCCGGCCCCGCCAAATCCGGTGGCTGACCCAACCGTCCCAACGGAATCCTGCCCTCCATATACGTCCTCTTCACCGGATCACTCATATCCTCATCATTCAGCTGAGTCCGGATCGTTCCCGGCAGCAGCGCATTACATCTGATGCCGTATTTGCCCAATGCCACCGCACACGACTGCATAAGACTAAGCACCCCCGCCTTGGTGGGCGTGTAATGCGTCTGCTGTCCACCCCCAACAAGTGCAGAGATAGAACTAATCCCGATAATGGAGCCTCCCGGTGGCGATTGAGCCAGCGCCATTTGCCGTGCTGCTGCTTGTGTTGCCCAGAATGCGCCACAGAGGTTGGTGTTGATTGTGTGGCCGAGGAGAGGGGGGTCGACTCTACACAGTAGGCCAACATAAGGCAGTTAGAAATGGCTCTTCCAGACGGTAGACAAACAAAAGGAAAGTTATTAAGGGGGTGGGTTGACCACTTACTCGAGAAACTCCTCGAACTTGCACACTCCCGCATTACTCACGAACACATCGAGTCGTCCAAAGGCTTCCACGGCTTTGGCTACGAACTCCCGCCCCGTCTCGGGCTGTGTTACGTCTCCTGCAACGAGGATGAATCTGCTGCTGCTCTGCTCACTGTCGTTATTGGACCCGATAATCTCAGATACGTCTTTGCGCATCGCTTCGATGAGGGGCTCTTCTTTGGATCCGCCGAGGTGGTTTACGGCTACTTTTGCGCCGTGGCGGAGGTATTCGAGAGCGATGGCCTAAAAAGAAGATCATGTTAGACTGGCCTTGGGGATGACTGTGAGTTCATTTGCTTGTGTCTGCTCGCCTTACCCTGCCAATACCGGTTAAACCGCCTGTAATGGCGGCGACTTTGCCGACTAGGATTTGGGGGAGAGGCATTATTGTGATGGGTTGATTGTGGTTGATGGTCGATTGGGGCCTCTGGAGGAAATTGAGCGGTTGACGTGGGGAATACTACCAGCTTATAGCCCTGGATTTAGAGCTCGTCTTGTGCTGGTAATTCTGGTCAACCCCGCCGGGGAGATTCAGATAACCAAAGAGTAAATCTACGTTGAAGTGGAGTCGGTCTCGGGCTTCTCGTGGGATTGTTACCCCGAGACCACCCCACCATTCGGCTTTTACCCCACACCGGACGATTTGTTCCCAAGTCATGTCGAGGATTGTTCCATTGCCCCCTATCTATTGTTCTGAATAAAACTGAAACAGAAAAATGGTCATGTGTACATGCGTAGTAAGTAAAATGCTAATCTCGTCACAGATAGGAAATATGCCATCAAGCATCTTCTAGAAAAACCGTCAAGATTTTCGTCGAAATACTGCTCAAGTAGACTCCTGCTGGTTCTCAGTTGGAGCAACCAGTGCCTTTTGGGGTGCAGGAGTGAGAATTGAAGCTGCTGGGATAAGAGACGCAGCAGGGTTTAGCTCGAGGCCGAAGCCCGGCTTGTCCAGGATCGATACATCCAGGTATCCCTTAGTAGGGATCGGCTCGTTGAGGAAGAGGTTTCCGAAGACGGGCTCAACAGTGTGTCCATCTGCAGAGTTGGCGAGGTATTCCTGGAAGGGTGTATTGGGTTGCGAAACCACAAAGTGGTAGGAGTAAGGTCCAGATGCGTGAGGAACAACGGGGAGGTCGTAGGCACTGGCAAGGGCGGAGACCTTGAGCAACTCCGTCATACCACCGACCCACATGACATCCGGCTGCAGAATGTCCAAGTTACGGCCCTCCACGAGCTTTCGGAAACCGTACCGTGAGTACTCGTGCTCTCCGGTGGTGAACTTGACAGTGGGGTGGGCTCTCTTCAAAAGCGCATGACCGTCGAAGTCATCCGGGGTCAAGCATTCTTCCCACCAGTCAATGTTGATTCCTTCCGCCTCACAACGCTTGACCAGCTCAATTGTGTATGGAACGTTCAGGGACATGTAGCAGTCGACCCGCAGAGGGAAGTTGGGACCGACTGATTCCCGCTGCTTGCGGAGGTAGTCGACGTTCTTCAAGAGTCCTTCCGTACCCTCGTCAGGGCCATGGGGAAGAGCGACCTTGGCTCCGGAGAAACCCATGGCCTTGGCCGAAGCGGGCTGGGGTCCAGTGCAGTAGAAGTCCAGACGCGAACGGGTAGCGCCGCCAATGAGCTTGTAAACGGGTTCGTTGCGAATCTTGCCCAGAAGGTCCCAGATAGCCAAATCAATCACTGAGATGACGGCAACAGGGAGACCTTTTCTGCCATAGAACATCGATCCCCGGTACATCTTCTCGAACAGGTCATTGGTATCTCTGGGGTCTAGAAGATGAGATACAAATTAGCCTGGCTCATTCTCAGTAGACTGATATATTGATAGCTCATACCAGCACCAAGCAGGAAGCGCTCAAAGTGTTGATGGACCAGCCAACAAGCTGGGGGACCACCGAATCCCGTGGCAAATCCCTTAGTCCCGTCGGTAGCTTCAATCTCGACGCAGAAAGAGCCCAGGACGTTAATACCCCATGATGTGCGAGAGCCACGGTATTGTGCCCAGCGAGTCATGGGGGTGGAGATGTTACTGTCAATCAACCAGTGACCTCCTTTGACCTGTTGAAATGGAGAAATTTAGCGATCTGCTCATCATTATCCGGGCGCTGCTGAGCATACATTATGATAATCACCTCCGGATCCCACACCATCAATGATGAAGGTGCGGATCTCTTTGATGCGGGGAAATTGTCCGGTAGAACCCATGTTGGCAGTAGTTTAGCGGAGTGGGTATGAAGAATATCACAAAAGCTAGATAAGGAGAAGCAAAAGAAAAGAGAGAGAGAGAGGGAGGGAGATAAACTTCTCCCGGGGAAACTGGAGCATATTTGAAAGCATACGAGCAACTCGGCGTCGAGGGGCGACCCGGCAGACTTTCCCCTCGGCTGGTGATGCCTCGGGGCAATGCTACCCCGAGAGGGTCTCCAACTTGCGCAGCCAACCGAATCACAGGGACGAAGAGTAAGTCTTACACTAGTTTGAGAGACATTGGACGGGTGAACGGACCCTAAGGGGCGCCACATTTCCAAGCATGTCCTTTCTCAGGGCAAAGGCAAAGGTCATCTTCCCCCAGACCAGAGGGTTCTTCACAAACGGCAGAACGGGTGTGGAGGTCCTTTTGCGGGGGTCCGCGTGCCTTTTCTTGGCTCAGGCAATGCCAGCCCGACGCTCTCTTCGTCTCTCTCATTCCTTCCTATTATTCTTCTCCTTTGCTTCTTTGTCGCTTTCGCTCGCGCTTCGCACGATTTTTGAAACTAGCAGTCGATTCGGTCCAATTTCCCCGATTTCCGCCCCTCCTGCCAGGATGCTTCGTCGCTGCTGATCGAACTGCTGTGGCTGCACCTGTCTATCTCCCGATAAACCCCGGACTCGCTAAAGTACCATGCCGAACGCTGCTGCAGCTGTCTCTGTTCGACAGACTCCACCACCATCCCGACTTGCTGGCGATCTGGAACGGGATCACAGCGGGGATGAATCCTGGTCCGCTGCCGATAGCGAGAATGATCGTGTTGCGCAGAACGGGTCGAGCGTCCCTCGTGCGCTGAAACGTAAACGACCCCTCACAGTGTCGTACGTACCGTCCCATCCTGCTTTGAACAATTGAAAGCACAGCTCTCCCTTTGGCCACATTCCAATGATTGCTGGACCATCTGATCTAAGAGAGCTGTGGCTGGCCCCGTACCATTGGACATCTTACTAACGGACTAAGATGCGAGCTATGTAAGCAAAGGAAGGTCAAATGCGGTAGGTATGCCCTGCCTATGTGGTGGCTTCCCCTCACTCTAAAATCCTTGCTACATATCTCCATAATCTAACATGCGCAGATCGAGCGCAGCCTAGCTGTGGGTGGTGCTCTCGCAATGGCCAATTATGCGAATACAAGGAACGGAAAAAGCCTGGACTACGGGCAGGCTATGGAAAGGAATTAGAACAAAGGCTAGGTGCGTCGCTAGTCGTTGAATAACCTGAAGTCTCCACTGACTAGGAATGCAGACCGGTTAGAAGAGGTTATTCAGACGCAGGCTCGCCTAATCGAGACGCATATCATTCAGAGCCAGCCGACTAGGAGCCATGATATCCCCCACCAAGGACCCTTCTCATACAGCTCACCATCAGAGACGGCTCAGGGTCCCAGTCCCAATAACACCTTCTATTTCCATGATCCATCATCTATCGTGCCCCAACCGCGTCAGTCTGAACCATCCATCACCAGTCCTTCGGACATATCGGTCAAGAACACCATACAAAATCACCTGGCGAGTGCTATGTCTGCGCCCGTTTCGGTACCACGGTCGACGAATAACGCGCCACAAGCCAATGATTATATGGGAAATGAATCATCGCTGAAAGTTCCGGTCAACCTATATGCCAACCAGGAACAGTTACTGGCAGATCCAGAGCTCGATCTACCCCCGTACGATCTTCTGTACGCGCTGGTGGACCTCTATTTTGAACACATCAATACCTGGTGTCCCATTCTTCATCGCCGTACAACTCTCGATACATTCTTCGGACCGTCCCCTCTCGAAGATGCGGACAGGACAGTGCTCTATGCCATCGTTGCAACTACTCTTCGTTTTTCAAGCGACAGTCGGCTTAACGAGCAAAACCGCAAACGATACCATGACTCCTCCAAACAGAAGGTCCTACTCTATGGGCTAGAAAATTCATCAGTAAAGGCTCTCCAGGCTTTGGTAATCCTAGCCCTGGATCTAGTGGGGTCCTCCAACGGCCCTCCTGGATGGAAGTTGCTCGCACTGATTACCCGATCAGTGGTCCAGCTGGGACTAGCCGTGGAGGCTAAGTCTTCGCTCATTGCTCCCAGTTATCCGTCTATCTATACTCTTAGGGCGGTAACGCTCCCGGAGCCGGAATCCTGGATTGAGGATGAGAGCAGGCGGAGGCTCTTTTGGATGGTGTATTTCCTGGATCGATATTCTACCATTGCAACCGCCTTTGATTTCGCCCTGGACGACAAGGACATAGACCGAAAACTACCATGTAAAGATGAATACTTTCTCAAGAACCAGCCCGTGGAGACAAGATGGTTCCAACGCTCGAGTGATCGTGCTGACTACGTGACTCGTGCCGAAAATGTCGGTAGCTTTGGACTTTATGTCGAAGTATTGGGTATTCTCTCTCGGATCCATGCTTTCTTGAAACGACCTGTCGATATAGGGGCTTTGTCGGACGTCGAGGAGTGGCAGACTACATACCGCAAGCTGGACAGCGAGTTAACGTCCTGGGAATTTGGCCTCCCAGCCGAATATGCCTACGAGAACTCCTCCCGGTTGTTCAATGGATCCAAGTTTACTAAGGGGATCCATTGTGACTGGGTCCAACTTCATGCCACTTACCAAACGTGAGTATTCTTACCACCTCGATCACATGCAATCGCATCAAATCATCCTAACATTTACCCCTACAGTGCGGTTATCCGGCTCCATTCATCAGCAGCGTACCCCACCACACGATCACCAATCTTCACCCCCTCATACAGCGCAAGCCAGCGATGCCTGCTTGCAGTGGACAACATCCTCTCCGTGACTCGCTTCGTCGTCGACAATAACATGCTCGACAGACTTGGCCCCCCTTTTGCCTTCACTCTCTGGGTATCTGCACGGCTCCTCCTCGTCCACGGGTCCACAATAGCCCACACAGTCAGCCCCGACATCCTCTTCTTCGTCGACACCCTAGCCCAGATGGGCAAACACTGGAAAGTCGCAGAGCGCTACAGCTCAATCCTGCAGCGCGTTCTCGACGAATACGGCGAATATCAACAATCCGGAGTCTCCGACTCGGAACGAGCCACTCCATCCACCGTAAAAATCCTAGCAGACATGCGCCGCTGCGCATTCGATCTCGATTTCCTCATCTCCCGACAACCCCGCACCTCTCCAGCCGGCAGCCAGCCCTCCGAACCACCAGCGACAGTCAGGAACCCAGCACCCAATGAACTCGAATACCTCGACGTCTTCGGTTTCTTCAATGTCCCCCGTGTTCCCGCTGCTCGGGCGACGGATATCCTCAGCCTGGATATTGGTGACCCAGTCAACAATCCCATGTCAGTCAACGGATTGACTGGAACAGGCGGCGGCGGCGGTGGCAGCAGCAATACCAATCACGTCGTTGATGGCTCGCATTCCAATACGAATGAATTCAATATCACAAATTATCTCATACCCACACCGGAAAGTGACTGGCTTTTCCGTCCGAGTGGTTGAATGAAGTCTTCATGTTTAAAGATTGCTACATCTTTGAGGCAGTTTATCGCTTTCACAAGCCATGCTGAAGAATCAAGGGGAACCTATGTGACTCCTGTTCACCATGCCGTACACTGGAACCTGTTAGTTGGACCTTATGGCTGGCAATGGCGTTGAGCTGCAATCCGGTACTGTTGAGGAAACTGAAGCTATCAGACTGTACTGGCTGGCTGGCTTGATTGTACAATATCACACACAATCCCGTGTTAAATATATGTCATTTGATGATGAATGATGATTTTCACGATGTGATGCGATCTTGACAATGAATGCATCACCTGGATGTCTGTAATTTTCATTCTTCGGGCTATCACACACACACACTACTCAGGTACTCGAGTGTCCTGAGAACAATTGATAGACAAACAAGGAAAATTTTACATAACTCCCCACATCGTTCTGATACCATTACAAATGCAGACAAAGAAAGATAAAGGAAAGAAAAGAGGGAAAAAAAAAAAAAAAAAAAAAAAAAAAAAAAAAAAAAAAAAAAAAAAAAAAAAAAAAAAAAGNCGACAAGAAAATCGAGAATGAGAGAAGAGGTGAGTCTTGAAAGTAGTGTCATGTTCCCAGAGACGTAATGTAACCAGAGGAGGCCAGTTTCCAGTAGGCAAGCTCCTGTTCACTAAGTCAAGATGGTTCCAGCCCAGGAAATTCCAGAATAGCAATGTGGAGATAAGAAATGTATGAAGGAGGAAATCCAAGTCGGAAATTCCATGTGGTGAATGCCCAATTGTGGATAGAGCACCAGAAGCAGAGAATGTGCATAATTTGAGATGAACGCCACCAATTCATGTTCTGTTAAATCCAGGAGGGGTTGTAAGAGCAGGATATTTCGCGCGAGAAGGTGGTATGTGAGTCAATCCAAGACACACAAAAACCAAAGTGGATTGCATAGCTGCCATGATCGTGAAGTTAGGATCTCACTTGGTCCGTCCGTAGTGACTAGAATTCTATATTTGCCCAGTCTGTTTCAGTTTCGACCCGCTGCAGACGGGCTGTTCTCGCAGTGAGTGGGTAAACTGTCATACTAGCCCAGGTTCCAAGAGGCAAGTCTGGCCAGTCACTCGTGCTATGCTCGAGTATAAACTGGAGCAACACTTAAGCCCTGCCTGGGTTTGAATCTGAGTCAGAAGGCTCAACTCGGACAAGGATCTCTTCTAGAAATCCCTCTAAGAATGAGGTCACTTGAGCGCCCATTCCCACTGGTGCCTCGTTGTCCCAGCGTTCAAGCTTCGTAAACATGCCGTAGATATCGCCCACCAGGTTTTCCATCATTCCATGGACATACTCCTCACGTGTTTGATATTCGCTAATGTTGCCGCTAGCATCCCTCGTTGCGTTAGGTGAAATGAGCTCCAAGCGCCGCGTCCGGCGACGAATGGCCGCTTTGAGAGCAGGTAGTATCACGCTATTTAGAGCTGTGATCTCGTTCGAAGGGGGCATCTGGGTCTGGCCCTGGATCGCCTCCCGCTCCCGTGCTCTCTCATCGAGGGCCCCATCGGTTGTGGTATTGAGCTGGAGAGGATCAGGCCTCATGGATGAAGGTCGAGGGCCATGTGGCAACGCTTGCTGCGGCCGTTGGGGCTGAGATGGCGGTGACATATGCTTTGGTGCTGGAGGGAGCCGTGTTTGTGGCTGTGCGTATATTGGACGCTGTGGATATGCTTCTTTGGCAGGTCTAACGTTCTGGTTCGCGAGGTTTGAGGCCGGTGGATCTGGCAGGCGTCCTTGATACGATGGAACCTCCGGCAGGTGTGACTGCGGAGCCTTCTGATATCCTTGTAAACCTGGGGGAGCACCCCGCCCTTGCGAGAAAGCTGTCGAAGGCCCTGGGGAGCGATCAAGCTGGAGGAAGCTCAGATCCTCAGCCAAAGCTTGTTGCAGAGCTCTGTCATAGTCACTACCAGGACTCCCCTTTGGCTGACGTGAGACTGGCTGTTGTAGGTGTGAAGGTGTCTGAGGTGGGACATCTGATGATTGTTTGATGGGTGAAGGTGGCAAGGGAACCTTGGTGGGCGACAGAGGCTTGGGCATAGCGCTAGGCATGTTTTTCGTCTGCAGGGGTGTAGGAGGCATATTGCTCTTTGGTCGTAAAATGTCTCGACGGTGCTCGTCTTTCATGTTCCACTCATTGGCTTCATGGCTTCTCGCGTTCATGTCCGCTTCTTTCATCGCCTTGAGAGGGGGTGCTCTCCCTGCCGGCCGCACGGTGCCAAAGTCCCACAAATCGTCTTCTTCCTCAGGGGAAGGCGTCTTGGGTGGAGGCTCCTGAATGTCTTCATCATCAGCCCCCCTATTACCATGGATGGCGTTCCAGCGCTCGTAGCGTTCAATTAGCTCGGTCAGGTAGGTTGTCTTCTTTGCTCTCTTAATGAACGGATGCTCGAGCAGCTCTCTGGCGGATGGCCGCTCCCTGGGATCTCGTCTCAAACAAAGTTCCACAAAGTTTTTGAACGCTTTACTATAATCGCCTTGCAAGACAGGTGGGGGGTTCTTGGGAATCAAGAATAACACCTTCATGGGGTGGATGTCCGAGTAAGGAGGCTCTCCGTTGGCCAGTTCAATTGCAGTGATTCCGAGAGACCAGATATCGGCCTTGTAGTCGTATCCGGATTGCTTGATCACCTCCGGGGCCATCCAAAATGGGGTACCCACGAAAGTATTCTTTTTAGTCATTGTGGCTGACAGTTGACTGGAAACTCCAAAATCAGCCAATTTCACTTGGCCGTTCGAGGTAAGCAGGATGTTTGCAGCTGGCGCCGACATTAGTCTCCATTAAGCGGGGTTAGGTCGAGCGGGATCAGGTGGTACCTTTGACATCCCGGTGCAGCTTCTTATCGCTATGTAGATAGTCCAGCCCTCTGAGTAGCTCTCTTATGATGATCATGATATACTCCTCTGGGATGGTTCCCGGACGCATCAAGTCGGAGCAACTGCCACCGGAACAGAACTCCATGATGATCCATAGACTGGATCCCTTCAAGAAGGAACCATGGTATCGAGTGACATAAGGAGAATTGAGTTCCGACAAGATGGCAATTTCTTGGATGATATCTTCCACCTCATCTTCGGCATTCTCGACATCGATGATCTTGATAGCAACAGAGGCACCGGTACGCTTATCAACGCTGCAAATAATGGCAGTGTAAGCCGATGAAGACCTCATGCATAGGGCGCAATCCGAGCGAGATGAGGGAGGTGCCTGAGCATACATACCCTTTATAGACTCGTCCGAAGCTCCCGCCGCCTGTAACGGTATGACTGAGTTAGGAGAGCCTGAATGCGCGGCAAGATGAATCACACCATGCCCGAGTACGTACCGATGCAGCTCTGCTTCATGTAGATCGTCTCTGGATCCACTAGGCCTTCCATCTTGGCTGTAACTAAACCGCGGGCGGAAAAGGATGTAGAGATCAATTATCTCGCCCGGTTCTGCAACACTTGCAAGTGACAATCAGCGTCTGTCATGAACGAGCGATGATGATGATGATGATGATGATGATGTCTGTGGTATGCGAGTACCACATGCGTGGAAGACCGAGAACATATAAGAAATAAGAGTATGGGAAGGCAGCTTCGCCGGGGGCGGTTGTGGAGGATCAAGGGCGACATACCTATCGCCTAAGCTAGGCTAGGAGGTGGAGGTAGGGCTTAGATAGGAAACAGGTAAAGAAAGGAGACATTGAATTGCCGGAATAGATAGGGATCAATCAATCAATCAATGATTGCGGTTCAAGGAGAGATGCTAATTAGAATTTCGGCAGAATGCATCGGGCGAAAAAGCTGACGCTCGACTATGATTGTTTTGGGGATGACAACCGGCAACCGACAGTTTGCTGGCTGGAGTGTCTGTGTGTCTCCGAGGGGGGCGGAGGAGGGGGGCAAAGAGGAGGAAGAATGGGTACAGCCACCGATCCTTGCGTGATTTGAAAGGGAAAGGAAACCGGGCGCAAGGGCTGAAAGATGGGGAGGCGACATAAGCTAGGCAGATGAGAATAGATGGAAGAAATGGGAGGGAGAGAATTGATTCCCTTGCATGTCAAGAAGAAGCAGAAGCAGAAGCAGCAGAACAACAACAACAACAACAACAATAACAATGACAATTGGAGACAAGTTGGAACCACGAAACCAGGAACAGGAACCGGCGATTACCAAAAATACCCGCCCGAATACCGGCCACTGATTGATTGCTTGATTGGGGAGCAACGCGGGGTCGTCTCTGGCCGGGCGGTCAAGCTGCTTTGGTTTTAAAAAAAGCCCCCCCACCATCTCTTGGAACCTGTCTTGGGCAGGCGGTGAATAGAGGAATTGCCTACTCTGGTACTTATCTACTTACTGTGGACGCTGTAACAAAGGAGGGAACTGCTCTAAAGTAGAAAGGGATATCAAGGGTGATTGTGTGATTCTTCTTAGATTTCTTTCTCATGAAGCCATTAGATCTCCTCTTTATGCAGACTCGCAGATATAGAGGACAATTACTCGATCAAGTATGACCGGATGTACATGATTGGAAAGAGCCATTCAGGTGTCCTGATGTCGGCGATTTGCTTCCCAGGGAGATGCTCATCCGTGTTAAACAAACATCCATCCCGCAGAGCAGCAAATTGACCCCAAGAGCAAGAGGCCCCAGTCCTGACTGCTCCTTAGGTCCCCGTCCTGGACATCTCCGACTCTCTCCTCAAGTGTCAGATCCCAGTCTATTCCTCAACATAGCCTATCATGACCGTTCCATTCTTCAGTCCAGCATCGGCGACGGTCTGATCCAACAAGTCAATCAGATTGCGGCCCATGGCATTCAGCTCAAACTCCACACCAGCTTTATCAGCCAAGGGAGGATCAGCCTTGAGCCATTCGTAGATCCGCTGGACAGGATCCGTCAAAGCGAAACGCCGAATCACTCGCCCCGACGGGTGTCGGAACTGAATGCGCGTGGTTGTGGCAGGATCGGCAGGGGGCTCTGTGTGGGGTCGATTGTCCGGAATGGACAAGAAGGCGCTCTGTTCAGGTTGTTCGGCCTCTTCCATTCCAACATCTTCAGCCCGTCCCTTACCCTTCACATCGTCGGTGCTGCGGGTGAGATCGTCGGGATCCTCCATCTTCGGGCCTTGCGACGCCTCATCCCCTAGACTGTTTCTCATTGCCATCTCCATCATCTCTTCTTCGGTCATCGCATCGATACTCTTCTCCTTCTTCTCCGGCTTCCGCTTCGCCACGGGATTTCTCACGTTGTGCTTCAGACTGTATCGATCGAGGAACTCGTGGAGTTGCATCAGAAAGTCCGATGCCTTGATCACGGGAGGCCCCGACCAGACCTTCATCTGCTCTCCAGTCCGGGGGTCAACAATCGCGATGTGGGGATAATTATCTGAGACGTCGCTCGCCTGAAAGTAGTACTGCAGATACGGTCCCGCGCGAGGGTCGTCCTTGGAATATTGCATGAAAATAAAATGCTCCTTAACGGTGTCTCTCACACCCGCATCCTTCCAGAGGTCTCTGTTCAGAACCTGGCAATCAAAGACTGAAGGGTCCTGGATATTGACCATCAACCACTTCTCATTGTCGCGACCTTCCTGACGAGCGACATCCCACGGAAGTCTGGACATGATCTCGAAAGGGGGGCGGTACATCTCAGCCAACATATTAGATTTATTCGACGCCTCGGAAGCTCCTCCAGTCGCTGCGGCCAAACGTTCACGTTCCGAGGTATCGTCCTCTCCAGACCATATCGATGTGTCTCGTTGGTTGAAAATTCCCGGTCGGTCTAAGAAGAAGCAAAGTCAGCTGTGACTGGACAAGACTAGAAATGGAAGGGCAAGGTGAAGTGCTGACTGGTTCGCTGCTGGCGCGCGCGCAGTTGACCCAATATGCTGGCATGCATATCGCCGTCGTCAAAGTCCGCTTCAGGCCCCACCAAGGTTTCTGTTGTACGGGCCATCGGCGCACGCACGTTCTCTTCAGCATCTCCTCCGCCGTACATCTCTTCTTGGAGGCGACGGGCCATAGCTGCATCGTCTTCAAACACAGCGTCGTGCGATGGGTGATTCCGAGGCGCAGAGCGAGACTCATCTATTGTGACGTCGTCATCGGAGTCAACATTGACTACCCCAGACTCATTTCCATAGCCGCCAGCATGAGAAGCTCGCTGTGGCGTGGAGGCCGACGGTAAGGGATCATCAGTCAGTGGCGCACCGCCATTCTCGAAGAAAAGCTGTACGGCCTGCTCAATATTGAAATCAGTCAGCTGCAGATACTGGGTAGCCAGCTCTGGCTTTGAGCCGGTGATTTCAGTGAACTGTGCTACCACGTCGCCTTCCATGGCGGGCGCACGGCACTGGGGTGGGTCTAAGGATGAGACGAAGAAAGAAATATGAGGGGAAACAAGAGATCGCCGTGATGGGAGGAGGGTGTATGCAGCAAGAATCCCAACAGAAAGGTCGCTGGCAGGCAATGTGATGCAAACAGCTGCAAACAGTAATGTCAGTGCTAGGCGGTGATTAATGAAGATGGAGGAATGAAGTTGAGATAGATCCAAATAGATGAGTATGAGTGGAAGAACAATAGAGGGGAGATCTTTGGGAAGACTCCGCACCGGTAAACCAGAAAGTTGTGCAAGGGAATGCAGCACAAACAACCAGGATGCGTGGTGTCAATACTCGGGTGCTATCCGTCAGGTAGAATTGGTGACGCACTTCACAGCATCCGATGAACAGGCGGATAATCACGCGGTCCGACCCTGTGGCTTTCGCGCCTGAGAAGTCAGGCCTGGGCAGCTGAGCAGAACCCCGCGGGAAAAAAACGTGACTGGCCGAAGCGCGTCAGCCTCGCTTCTTATCACGTGATAAGATCAAGCCACGCGTGACGCGCTCCCCTTAGCTCGACGCGTCTTTTTAATTATGCCTCCTTGGGAAAATCATCGTGGATACTACTAAGTAGTGTTACCTCCACTCCAACTACTACGACTGCTCTAACATTCTCCCCAATACCCGCTCCTTCCCTTCCATCATTGATCATCTATCTCCTTCTCATCTTATATAAGTCGGTTGCTCTTGCCAGTTACCATCGGACCTATCATATCATGGCTGCTTCGGTCCTCGGTAAGCGCCAGCGAGGTGCTATCGAACCGGAAGGTACGACTTCGATCTCATCAAGTCCCTTTGCGATTCAGTTCAGATCGTATAGCTAACATCCCACTCTATCAGTTCCATCATTACCAGTGCGTCGAGCAAGCAGACGCCGGACACAACAACCTCGCGTCCGTGAAGGCAGCGAGCCTCCTGCACCCCAACCGCGCCAACTTCGGTCACGGACGAGAAATGGCAATGGCACCACTATTCAAGAAGAGCCCCAGGAAGAACCAAAGAATGACTTGGTCGAAAGTGGACAGACAAAGCGTACAGTGCAGGTTGGCAAGACGGCCATATCACCGGTTAAGCGCAGCCATGCTACAGATCCGGTCAATGGTTGGAGTTCTCCCCTGATTTTGCTGTTGAACTAAGACTGATTGATCTAGACGAAAACTCGACGCCAGTTGAGCTCAAGACACCTTCGAAATCAAGGTTCCGCGATGCACTTGATTCCCCTCCTCCGACAACACCGAAACACCGCGTTCAGATCGGCGGGAAATCAATGACCCCGCGCACACCTCGACACATATCGACGCCAACCACCACGCAAACCATATACTCCGAAGCAAGGCAAATGTTTGCGCGCGGAGCAACTTCGACTCGGATAGTGGGTCGGGATACCGAACGGGAGAAATTGACCTCGTTTATACAAGATGGGGTTGATTCGGGCAAAGGTGGTTGTCTGTATGTCAGTGGTCCCCCGGGTACTGGAAAGAGTGCCTTGGTTCAGGAAGTGTGTCACGACATGGACTTGAAGTCTCTCAAAATCGCACACCTCAATTGCGCGAGTATGCGAGGTGCTCGTGACGTCTACAGCAGGCTTATCGGCGATCTCTGCAACGACCATGATGTTTTCAAGAAGAGTGAACCAGATCGGCTACGACTGATGTTCACATCCGACGAGAATGACGATCTGTTTCTAGTCACTCTGGACGAGATCGATCACCTCCTCACCGCGGATTCCGGTATCCTTCAGTCTTTGTTTGAGTGGTCGTTGCAGGAAAAGTCTAGACTCATGCTCATTGGTATTGCCAATGCGCTAGACCTAACTGATCGATCACTCCCGCAATTGAAGGCCAAGAACTTGAAGCCTCGTTTGCTTCCCTTTTTGCCCTACAATGCTGGCCAGATTGCCAGCGTAATCACCAATCGTCTTCGCTCTTTACTTCCTGAAGGTCAAACTGTGGACCCCAATTTTGTTCCTTTTGTTCAACCAGCAGCTATTCAACTGTGCTCGAAGAAGGTGGCATCGCAGACTGGCGATATACGGAAGGCGTTCGAATTGGTTAAGCGTGCCATTGATCTTATTGAACAAGAAGCTCTCAAAAAGCTCGAGGCACAAAATGCCAACCCCGAGAGTCCATCCAAAACAATCCTTGTTGAGAACAACAATCTTTCCTCATCGTCAAAATCTTCTTCACCTAAACAGACCCCTGCATTATCTTATACAGCTATCACAGCGCCGCGAGCCAGCATTGCTCATGTTGCGCGTATCACTTCGGCGGCATTCGGACAAGGGACAGTTCAGCGACTACAGGGGCTCAACCTTCAGCAGAAGGCAGCCATCTGTGCCTTGATTGCCCTGGACCGGAAGCGGCGGCAAGGTGAATTTCCAGGCACACCATCCAAGACCAAGCATTTGCCGCCGACGATCAAGCAAGTGTACGACACATATTGTACCTTGTGTCGGCAAGACAATATCCTACACCCTCTTACATCTACCGAATTCAAGGACGTGCTCAGCAACCTGGAGACGATGGGTCTTGTGGGTGAATATCAAGGCCGCGGTCGTGGTGGCACAGTCGCTGGCGGGTCAGATCTGCGACGCAGTCCTTCCAAGCTCCACGGGCCGATGACACCCAGCAAAGCCTTGGATGAGCAGAGCCTGGTTTGTTTCGTGTCTCAAAAGGAGATTGAGACACAACTTACCGGAGCGGGAGAGGGTATCCTCAGAAGGCTGCTCACCGGCCAAGGGTTGTAAACACGTTCTCTATGTCCCTTTTTCTGTACAAAACCCAGCGTGCTTGCATTTTTGAATGTCTTCTGCAGGCAGTTGGTCCATTCTCTTGGCGTTGGATAGACAGATCCATATGCATATATCCTCTTAGCGATACTCCCCGCATTGGCATACGGCGTTACATACATACAACTAGTGAATGATAATGATATAGCTTACAACAAAATGAATACCATTACGCACAAGAAAAGACGAAGTAGGATGCAGAACGTAGATTTTCTACACGATGCTCGAATCAAAGGGCATCATTGACTCTGCAAGTGTCGTGATATGAGATGATATGATATGATGCTATACAATGAACTGGGCGGTAGGAATCCACAGCAAGTATTGAATGATATCGCTTATAGAGAGCAGAAAAAGCAACTCAAATCGATAATGAAAAAAAATACAGAATAGACAGCTATGCATACATAACATACAATGGCCACAGAAAAGATAACACAAAAGTGAACAGGAGGGACAACAAAGATGTTGGGTATGTGGAAAAGAAATGAAGGAGAGGCATATAGATATAGATGGATAGATAGGTAGATGAATAGCTGATGACAAAAGGCAAACCTAACAATTGACAGGACTGCCGCCAACGAAAACACAAGATCACACACAGACACAAGATGCCATTCTCAAGCAATAAGACCTGCTTTAAGTTGAGATGGTGTTTGTTGTGTTGTGTTATGTGTATAAGGGCTGGTCCAAGGATCAAGGCTCACATTGTACGAAAAGTCAGCGATGCTAAGCGGTAGGTACCCTTGGTATTGGTAGGCTGTTGTAGCATTCTCTTTTGCCTTGTCTTGTATTCCCCGGGAAGTTGTGGTAGCAGCGTCATCGTTCGTTTCCTTGCAAGAAAAAGAGGATAAGATAAGATAACAAACATTCTTTTCTGAGCCTGTCTCTGTCTGCTCCTGTCTTGGAAGGAGACAGGTTAGAGGCTTCTATAAGTCATGGACACATCTAGTCATCGTCCATTGGCTTGTCTTCCAATGTGACGCCTTTCGGCTCGGTCTCGGCTAGACTGCTGCGCTTGCTGTCTGTGCCGCTCTCCGTGCTTGCGACAGTCGGGAAGCTGGAACGGTTTCCGAGGCCGGGTTTGCGAGTGTAGGAAACGCTAGACCGGGAGATTGTTGATGAGCGCTTCTCGGTATCTTGGGTGGGAGTTGTGGTTGGGGTCACGGAAGCGTCCGATTCAGGGGCCGGGGGAGGACTGGCACTACCCGATGAGGGGCTTGCGCTGGCCGCAGCGGAGACAGGAGATTCGCTCAAGGCGCCGTTGGTGGTGGACTCAGGACCGTTGATGTTCACGCTTGTCATCTGCTCCGCGGCGGTGGGAGATTCGCTTTTGATGGGAACATCCAGGCTGCTGCGGGCGATAGTCCGTCTTTCAGTGGGGCTGGTCACATTGATGGGGAAACGTCTGGTCTCCGAAGCGCCGCTGGAACGGTCGCGGCGATGCTTCTGAGGAGGAGCCGGGCTGTTGGCACGGCTACGGTCGAGGATAGCACGGTTCCGGGCCTCCATTGCGGCCCGGCGGTTGCTCTCATCCGTGCTGATGGCGCGAGGACGGTTGGTGGACCCACTGATCCCCAGAGCACTTGACTGGCGTTTCAATTCACCAAAGATGGCATCCTTGTGAGCGAATAGGTCGCGGATGAGGCGGTAGCTGTGCCGTTCGTTCATCGTAAGGCTGCTTTCTGTACGGGGACGGAGGATGCAGGGAGATAGGGTCTGAGCAAGTGCAGAGACATAAGTTTCGTCGGCAGATGTAAGGTCAATCAAGCGCGTGAAATGGGTCATAATAGCGTCAAGCGTGGCAATGTTGTTCAGACGGAGTTGTCCAAGAGTGCTTTGCAGGACCTTGATGCGGCCCTCTTCCGTAGTCTCATGAGCAGTAGTCGAGTATATGGTCTTGACAATTTCGTAAACTTGAGAGGAAACCAAAGAGTCTAAGGAAGCTGTTAGACCTGCACCATAATCAAAGGTATTAATAAAGACGAACCTGGCAACTCAAGGAGGTACAGTTTCAAAACACTCGCAATGATGGGGATTTCATATTTCTCCAGGATTTCGTTATAATCCGCTTTGCTGTTATTCAATGCGCTACGGAGGTGGTGTGTGGCTGCTAAAGGCACATCGTACAGCCAGATCGCACGTCGTGCCTCGTCACCCTCGAGGTCAGGGTAGCCTTTCCAAATTAGATTTAAAGCGCTCCAAAGGGACAGGGTGTAATGCCAACTTACGGTTGTCCAGGTAGGTCAGCAGAGTGGTGACCACGATGGGAACGCGCTTGCGGTCGGCTCTAGCTCTCGCTTCGAGGTCAACACCAAAATTTTGATCTAAAACGGTTTAGCAAACACTGAATCTTCAAAATATCCAGTCGGGAGGATGCATACCTTCCACGGATCCGTAGTAGTTCTCATACGCCTGCACACGAGGTACGAAACCACCGGTCCGGTAGTTCTCCAAAAGGTAACGAAGATCGCCTAGCGGCTGGATGGTCTCTTGGTAAAGCATCATGTGGTCGACCGTGCTTTGCAGGTTGGGAATGACATTGCTGATGGCGCCTGAGAAATCCAGGATCACGGCCTTGATTGCCTTGAGGCGGTCAAGCTCACACTGCTCCATGAAGCGCAGGTTTTCAACAACCTCTTCCTCGAGCTTGCATCTGATCATGTCCAGCTTGCGCACCGCAGCCTTGTACCGTTCATCGGCCTCGCGAGCTTCCCTGCGCAACTTTTCCGCTGGTGTCTCGTTGGGGTACGGGTTGTTGAGAGGATTCCAGCCGGCCAGCATCTCAGAAACAGAAGACAGCGGAGACTCACTGCCGTCCTCGCTTGTTGCTACAGAGGTTACGCGCATAAGAGGCTTCTTCTTCTCTGGGACACCGGTGATCTGGAACACCTTGGGGCGCCACTGATAGCGCATCTTGGAGCTGTTCGCGAAGGTGCTGCCCATATTGCCGACCAAGCGGAGAAAGCCATTGTCGACGAGATCCTGCCCAATTCTCTCCGAATAGGTGATGCTGGTTCCGTTCAGGTGCTTCTGAGTATATTCCACAATATCCGCACCGGTCGATGTGTTCTGATATGTGCCGATGATCGGCACCTTGACCTCGCCAATCTTGATGTTTTCCAGCATATGTGTCAGAAGCCTCTTCAAATCCTCCGGAGGGTAAATCCGATCGCCAATCTCCACCGGCTCTTCCTCCTCCTGTTCTTCGGGCAGAACGATTTTGGGGGTGGGCTTAATCTTCGGACTCGTTTCGGGGGCCTGGAAAGCGAGTTTGTTCTCTTCCTCGAGGTCTTCAACCACACGACACTTGTTGAAATAATGGCTGCGGAGCTTCTTGACCAGGTCCACCTGTTTTGAATGTTCTTTAATTCGAGCCTGGAGATCATCGTGGGAATTTTGAATTCGGGCCTCGTGCTGGTCGCACCAACGCCTGAAGGGGCTAACGACTAGCTCCCGGATGTTCGACGCGATCTTTTGGTGGTTCTTGGATGCCTCGACCATCTCGGTGCGAACTCCCTCGTACGCCTAGAAACAAAACACCTAATATCAGTATCCCATCAATCAGAACCTTGCGTATGAATGGAAAAGCACCGACCTTCCTCACGCTTGCCCCGTCATCTTTTCCGAAACCCGTTGGCGTGACCCGATCCACGGTCGGCGCAATATCCCCCAATTTCAAACCGTACTGTTCCTCCGCATCTGCGCGCATAGATGCAATGGTGATGATCTGCTTGTTCTCGACGGCGCCCTGCTGGAGTTTCCCGTAAAGCACCCCCAGACCGGTGGCGTAGTCGGGGGTCCAGAACGAATCCGCGAAACCAGGCATATTGAAGGAGGAACCAGGCAAGCTGACGTCAACGGGAAGATTGCTTGGTGCGGGCTTGGAGCGATGCGCGACCAAGCTGAGAGCGAGATTGAATCTGAGGAGAAACGGCCGGCGTTCGTCACCGACTCTAGGCAACTAGTGTAAACTTTCCGATGCACCACCGAAATCGTTTGTTTAGAGGAATGCCGGTAAAATTGCCTGGAGTGAACGGAGAGAAACCAGCTCTGTTTGCAAGCGCCGGATTGTTATCCACCTCTAACGGATGCTATAGTGGCACACAACGGCTGCGAGGAGACATAGGCCCGGTGACGGGTATGCGAGGGCGGCTACAGGAGACCGTTTAGGTGGTGAGGAGAGGAGAGGGGTGGATTGGGTCGAAAGCGTGGAAAACAAGGGAGGCAGAAGAGAAAAAAAAGAAATAAGGCAATGATAAAGCAGAAGAGAGAGAGAGAGAGAAGTAGAAGGAGTGTTGAAAAAGGGAAAAAATAAAGGTGGTCAATTTGCAACGGGAGAGGAGGTGGAGGAAGAAGTTAGTTAGTTGCAGTATGAGACACTTAGACGGATGACAACAGGGGAGACTGGATCTTAGGTTCAAGGTTGGCCGAGATCTTTTGGAAGGAAAAGCAACTTTCTCGCCCGGCTCTTCTTGGGCTTCTCCGTCATGCGTAATTTACGCCTTACCGACCTGAAACTAGACCGTTGGCGCCTCAGCCATCACGTGTGGTTGCCGGGTGGCTATTTTTGGGGGCTCCGGTGAAATATTACCGATATTACAGAGATTACAGCTTGTCTTAGATTGATTTCCCCCAACCACGCCTGATGCTTCCTAGTCTTTAGGGCTGGTGGGAATTTTGGGAAGACCCATCGCAGCACCGGTAACCCAAAATAATGGGAAGAGGAAAAGAGCCGAACCCTCAGATCATTTCCTAGGAAGGAAGGCTCTGAAGACGATTGCTTCCACTAAGACACAATGGAGGAGAACTGGTGGTCGACAAGCGTTAGTAATCTGGCACATCTTCACCCACTGATCTTCCCCTGTACAGAGTATGTATGTACAAACAGCGTAGAGACGCTGTCAATACTTCCAGTAGGTATTTTTAAACGTGGCTGGTTGTTCTCCAGATGCAAACACGCCAAGCCCGGAGACTGGCAGCAGATCCAAAACACGGCATTGCCGACAGCTTCTGTCATGTTGCTTTTTTGGCACCACTGAAGTCGGTATGCTTCTATTCTTAGAGTTTGAAAATCATTCCTCTAAACACGGAAGTCCATACATATAGTTGCTCTCAATTTATTCATTGTCAAGATACTTTCATTCGGTTCTGAGTTATGATGACAGTCTTCGTCGAGTAAAAATTTCTCAATTTGTTGTTTTTTTGGTGAACATTTCGCCATCCCGATGCATCGACTCAGCGCTGATCAAATATGCTACTTTATGTGGACATAGACTGAAGAGGGAGGCATGATCATAATCATACATAATTCAAGCGCAAAAGGGGAAATTGATGGAAGAAAACATAGCCCAAGCATGAAACAAGCCCTAACACCTTTGAAATGTGACCCAACCCAGCTTTAGCAGAAGAATTTCCACACCTTCTTCCACGCAGGCCAGGCCGCCTGTTCCGCCTTCTCCTCTTCGATGAGCGCTTGGATGTCGAGATCGCGACGACCGGTTTGAAGATCCATGTCCTTGGCCCGGACGAAGGGGGTCTTGAACCAAAGCTTGTAGGGGATGTAGAAGGCCAACACGACTGGCGCAGCAAGGTAGGCGGAGAAGAAGTTGGATACCAATTCAGAGGCTGACATGTCAGCATATCCGCTGGGCGCAAAGCCGACCCAGAACTGAGCAATCAGAACGAGGCAGTTGAAAATGAGCCCAATCCAGGAACCAATCACACCAGGCTGGGACTTGAAAGCCAGCTCATCGAGGCTATGCCCTTGCAATTTCCAAGCGCGACGGAAGCGAATGTGGCACAGGCAGATTGATCCCCAGGTGAAGATGGAGGAGAGACCCGAGATGGCCATCATCCATGTGAAGGCTTCACCCTCTTTATCGGAAGCGGCCAGGAATCCAAGCAAACCAAACGCCGAAGCAACGATGAGAGCCGGAAGAGGACGGCCTTTGCGATCGATGTAGGCGAAGAATTTCGGGGCCTGCTGTTGCTCAGCCAGGGCCGCCAGGGTTCTAGAAGAGCCGTAGACAGCTGCATTGCCCACGGAGAGCACAGCAATCATGATGACAACGTTCATCACAGACGGCAGTCCAGAGATTCCCGCGTGCACAATGGAGATGACGAATGGGGATGCTTTGGCATCGGCGCTAGACGATCCATCGAGGAGTCGAGAATCGGTGTAGGGAACAAGGAGGCCGACCAAGGTCAGAGACACAATGTAGAAGAGGGTGATACGCCAGAACACCTGCTTGACGGCGGTCGGGAGCGATTTTCTGGGATTAGCGGTCTCTGCAGCGGCAAGGCCAACCAGCTCAGTACCAGCAAACGCAAATGCAGCGTTCACAAAAACACTGCAAAGACCCTTGAAGCCGTTGTGGAAGGCACCTGGGTCGTGCCAGTATCTTCCACCGATGTATCCACCATGGGGCCCACCGCCACAAGTCAGGATGATACCGAGAATGCTGTATGAAGTCAGTAAACCCTCATCGCATACGAATGCTGGAGGGGGCAAATCCAATAGACTCACATGAAGCCAACTACGGCGGTGACCTTGACGATGGAAAACACAAACTCTGCTTCACCATAACCCTTAACACCGAACATGTTGATGCACACAATTACCGTCCAGAAAATAGCGACCCAGGCAGCATTCGAGACGCCCGAATCCCAGTAGTCGACAGTCAACGAGGCGGCAACAATTTCGGTGGGGAGGGTCACGAGCCACTGCAGCAGATAATTCCAACCCATGGCGAAACCCCAAGCGGGATCGATGAACCGAGTGGAATAATGCGAAAACGAACCAGCGACAGGGAAGAGAACGGCCATTTCACCCAGCGCGTGCACTGTGCAGTAAAGCATGCAGCCGATCAAGGCATATGCGATCAGGACCGAGGCTGGACCACCGGCCGCCAGGACCGATCCAGATCCGACAAAAAGACCAGTACCTAAAGCGCACATGCAGTCAGCAAGGACGAAGCCCAGATGACGTGAGTCTCGGCATCAAGGGACCATGCATACCAATTGAACCACCAATCGCGATCATCTGAAGATGGCGACCTTTGAGTTTGCGTGCCAGTGGTGAGCTAGCAGTATTCTGAGCGGCATTTTCGATGTCGAAGGTCTTCCCATCATGACCAGGTTCATGATGCGCCGAGGCACGAGCATTGGGGTCTCTCTTGAAACTATCCCAGATCCGCTGGCCAACGCTGCCTTTGGTCGATTCAGATTCGCCGTAGAGAGGAGGAGCGTCGCCGAACGAGGGCTCCGACTTGGGTTCAATGAAATCCTTCTCCATGGCTGCAGAGGTGTGATATACAGACGGTGAATGAATTAACTGCAACGATTCAAGACAGAACAAAAAGGAACAAGGTGGTCACTAAAGCCAGTCCGGCAACCGCAGAGAGAATAACGAGGCGGGTGAGGTAAAGGTGAGAGAGTATGGTGGGGAGGGAGGAGGGGAACTCCAGAGATGACGAGTGAGTGGTGGTTGCAGCCCGTGCGAGTGAATCTATCTCAAATCCCAAGACAGTAGTGATAAGTAGGGGAGGGCTTTAGGTGAATACTATTAGCACCTCTGGAGGGGGGAAACCGGGCGGCAGGAGTTTCTTATTACTTTTCCGTAGAACAGCGGGATTTGGGAAATAGAAAATTCCCTCTGAGACATTATTTATTGCTAGCCAGGATGCAGGGGTTTTTTTTATTATTTAAATAAGAACCGGGCGATATAGGTCACAGCAGTAATCCCCGACAGTTCCAATCCACCCATGGGAGTAATTACGGCCCCGGTCCACGAGCAGTGGGAAGAACCACTTAACAAGCTCAGCAGGCCCAGTTGCGGGCCTGATATCGACCACACAATCCATGTGGCCGAGCTAAATGGGCAGGAAGGCCGCAGGATAGTGGAGGCAATGTAGGTAAGTTGTCTACTTAGTCTGCTGCGACTCGAGCTGGGCCCATGAACAGCCGGATGCGCTCTGGCTACTTTACTTTTCCTACTATGGGGAAAAGGCTAAACTGGTGCGCGACAAATAGGAGGAGAGCCAATCGGTGAGAGCGTTCCAAGTTGACCATGGCCCGGGGGGATCCCTCGAGTTACTTACTGAGTTAGTACCACCTCATTGATTAAGAGCAAGAAAAGCTTCTCACTGGATCTGATTGGTGGTTCTGCAAGGTATTATTAACTGTTACTCTTTGCTTTAGGGATGATTATTACATCCTGCACCACTAAACCGCCCCCCAAGATAACTGGTTATCGGGGATTCACTACTACAACTGATAAGCCCGAACAAGCCACCCTCCCTCAACTCCTCTGCTTAGGCTCCCGACGCTGCGTCTTACGATGGCACGTTGTAACCCCCTTTGGATCCACTCGCATTCTATCAAGAAAACACAATAACTACTTTTATTGTGTTCAGGGTAATTTTTCTTTTCATTCAGCTGTGTAAAGGGAAAAGAGTTTGGGATAAAAAAAATGAAAATGAAGGAGTGTCTACATCATCTACTCCAAGCTGGCTGAGCGCAGAGTGCAGTCATACAGCAGACTGACGAGAAAAATCAGCCTGATCCGGGGAAAATAATGGAATTGAAATCACCTCATCATCAGTGACGGAAGAAGGTAGCATTTTTCTTCATTTAAGGTTTCCACGCCACTGACTTCGTTTATTTCCGAACCAATACCACTGTCCACTACAAATAGGTTAATCGTGTGATTCAAAAGCAACAAAGAAGGAGATGGGTATTCTTTCGCCGCCAGCATAGTTCATGATTCATGGCCTCTAACGTAGCTAACTACGGAGAAACTAATCCTGTGTATGAGCTGGGTTTCAGGGATGTGGTGATGCCCAGTAGGCCCGCCTCTCGCTATCTCTGACTATCTATGGTGCTATCTTGGCTTTCAGCGGTCCATGGACCCCAGGGTTTCCGTTCTGGGGTGGAGACCCGCCCCAAACAATCCACCCTTATCTCCGGCCATAGTGTATTTTGTACCTCACCTTATCTCTGCTTCTTCCCCCGGCTAACCGTTTCGCTGCCTAGTACTTATCTACTATCATGACACCCTCCCTTGGCAGTGTCTCGTAGGGGGGCAAACCCACGTACCTAATAACTCGTAGTCAATCTTTTGCTTCTTTTTACTTTTTATGTTATCCTGATTGTGCTACTCATTTCCTGAGTATCAGAATCATGCTTGGCATCCATGTACACTGCATGGAAGGTAGTAGTCTATCCTCTTAGCATCTCGTATAATCCCACAGTAGGAATCCGTCCGCTGCCGCCTATCATAATCCACGTGTCCCGCCTCTGCCCGAATCATGACAAGTTAGTATTTTGCTACTAACTCTAGGCTAAGGTGTAACCTACAGGGGAAATAATCGACACTACAACGAAGAGCTCTCCTGCAGTATATGCTTCTACTAAGGTGAATTAAACCTCATAGTGAATTACTCCCACCCCCTCTTCCTGATTAACCGAACGGTCCCTGCGAGAATTGGGGAACTTTCGGAAGTACTACTAACTAATACTAGAAGGGAAGCATCCATAACCACGGGCTGGCAGGCGCCAAAACTAAAATCATCTCCGCACCCACCGAATTTACGCGGCCGGGGCTGGGGCCAATCAGGCTGCAGATGCAGGGATGTTGATAAGCCCTCATTGCGGTCGGTTCGATGAGTTCATTTTTCTGCCTATCAAGACATTATCCACTCCCCCTACGACACAGTACTTCCTTCTATGCTCCGTCGTTGTCCGTCGCTACTCCTACCTAGTAGTACATGATCATCCGAACAGTATCCATTTAGAGCCACTATGCTATACGGCGCTCAGGTACACCATCACTGCTACTAATGTCTGTGTCATGATGGCGCGAATTAAGAGCAGGGTAACGAATATACAGCATTCAAATCACAGACAGTACTCAGGAGCTTTCATCTCGCACACCTGAACGAGGCAAAGGTAATACTTGTGTTACGCCTCTTGCCACCCTTCCCTTCTCTTTTCGTTTTCTACATCATGATACCTTTGTATTCCTGTTCCTCAAGGATCCTGAAGGAACGTTGGGTTTGAAAATCTTAGTGGCTACCACCCCTTGCGTATTCCCATCCTGGCTGGATTCTGGAACGTCGTCTGTCATTTGACTTCGGTTCTCCTGATCGATCTGGCCTCTAAGCTTTTGCACTACACACCCACTCGTTCGCCCCGTCCGTCCCTGCTAGGGGGAACCCATGGAAGACAGATAGAAGCCAGTTGGTGTTTCTTTCGGCGCGATAGCCCGACCAAGCCTGCAAGGCTAAGCCCACGCCTCGAGGAATGTTGGATGAACCAGGATGCCCGAGTTGCTGCTTAGTCTGTTCTCTGCGGAGTCCTTCAATCAGGTTTCTAGTCTATCTACTTAGTGGCAAGGTCGGATATCGCCGGCTCGTATAAGCCACAAGCCATCCGTGGTTCGTAGCCAGGTCCTCCTTTGCGCCAAGGGGTTTGTTTATTTGCCTCTTGCGAACTTCTTGTTCACTGATTTGCCTCTGGAGTGGTGCCATTTCCAGGGAATCATTCTATGGCTCACATCTTCACATGACAGGTCTGACACCGATTGCAATAATGGGGGATAGCTTCGGGCAAAGTACAGCCGTGCCATGTGGCCATGTGAAATGTGGTGCTACTCCTGTTTGGACAGACCATGCAACTGCTTTGAAGCTGCATGTGGTAGCCTGACACCTGGGCCGCTCCGTTCTAGCTACCCATCTGGTTACTGTGATTGCTCCGACATGCAGCCCTGCCATAATAGTTCATAACAGAGGGTGTTATTCTGCGGACCCCCTTCTCGGTGTCGCGAGCTATTCACAGTGAGAAGGCATTATGATCAACATGCACATCTGCGAAAGACTGCACAACAAAAAGAAAAAGCAAATTATCAAGACACGAGCACTCACATAGTCAGCTACAGGGTCTAATGCGAAAGGAAGTATTACCCATAATTCTGCAGATTAGCACCTGTAAAGAAGCAGAGAATCTCTGCTATACCACCCGCTGGAAAGACACAAATAATCTGCGCCTCCGCCCAGAAGTACGAATACCGGTTGTTTGGACTCACACCGGCCCGGTGGTGCCAGTCTGAGTAAGAGATCTACGACGTTTTGTTTGGCGACTTGCAGCTGCCAGCAAGCTCTGGGATACCCAGCCGTGCGACCGGTCCGGTTACGTGCAGGAGGAGCTTACTGTCGGGCAGAGCCTTGCTCTAGCTAGGCTAGCTGGAATGGCATCTAGCGCTGATACCGAGGTCAGCGTGGAAGTGTCCATGTCCATAAGACAAATTAGGCCGTGCTAACTCTAGACTAGGTCTATGCGCTTTCGCGCTGTTGTCTGAAACGCCCCTTACTGCATCATCATCAGAGCAGATTGAGTGCGGCCAGCGAATCCAGCCAGTTATCGACAGAGTCCTCGGATTCTATCCCAGGGGCATAATCACGCCCCATGACTATACGAAAGTATCTACTCCGTAGCGCCCACCCATATTGAGATAGACATAACATTAAGTAAAGATCCACAAAAAGTCCCAACTCAATAACCTCAAAGTACTCCTGTACACGGACAAGACTACTAATCTTCCTCCCGCCCGTCCCTCGGCAGAACCAAGCAAAAACCCAAACCCCGCAAACCACAACCCAGCCCCATCCGACGCTAAGCAAAATAGACAGACACAAAAGGAAAAGGAACAAGAAAAGTATCTACGTAGCATCCATCTCCCTCATCTAACCATGGCTCAGTCCGTCCGGGGATAGTCCGACCAAAGAAGTAAATTAAAGTTACTTAGTAGATTAGTAGTGGTAGTGTGATGATGTATACTATAAACTCTCTCTCAGCTGACTGACTTGCCCACTTTTATTTTTTGCGGGGAAACAATCTGTTATGTAACAGATTCATTCCCGCTTCTTCACCCCCGCAGTTTATGCCATGATGCCATGCCATGCCATGCTCGTGTTATGCTACCCCAGCTTTTTTTGGGACATCCTTGGGTCTTGGGGCTGGGGAATGTCCGGGGGTTTTTTTTGCTAAGGTTGGGTTGCGATGATGCGACGCTGGTTGGTTTGGAATTGTTGGTCGTTGTGTGGGGTTGGAGTTGAGTTGGGGCTTGGGGGAATGGGTGGCCGGACTGATGGATGTATTGCGAGAGAGAGAGAGAGAGGCGGGGGGAAAGTCAAGTAGAATGCCTATTTAGGTACTACTAGTACTGATCATTTACATCTAGTAGTTAGCTAGGTGGCTGTTAATTGCTGGGCTGGTAGAGTAAGATGTACCGCGGTATAATTTGGGTCCTTGGCTCCTTCTTGCCTTTCAGCAGGTTGTTTACGTCACTACTGTTAACGTAGCCTGTGATGGAGATAGTGAATTGGAGAATGTAGTACATTGAAGATATACATCATATTGCGGAGTTGTTGCTGCACAGCATGTTGATACACCGTTGTGCTGAATAGGAACTTTACCGTGGGGGTGTATTCTATAGAATACAAATTGAATATGAGTCCTACTTGTGCGCTCGTTACTTACTAGAGGAGATTCATTGGTGTAGTAGAGGTAGTATGAAGTATGCAGCTTTCTTCAGGTGGTAGTCTAGCACTTGTGCGTATTAGTATGTGCTTTCTTTTTCCAGTAATCCTTGCATGATAGTAATTTGTCTGGTGTTTGGCCCAGTCACTCCTGACCAGTACCTGCGTTGAGGCTGCTTGCAGCATGACTTATCTTGCAGGAGGCTGTACTTGGGCATATTTTCTTAGTTGGGGAGATTATAAAGTGGTATCATATGATTGATAGGATATGAACCGAGGAATGTTGCTTCCGCATGTTGATATTGGGCCATTGGGTCTTTCAAATATAGAAACAATGGCAAAAGAATTTGGTTATGCATGGAGATAATCCCAGAAGAGAGTACTCTGTAGTCTGACTGTGACAACTACAACCAATTGCATCTGTAACAATCGACACCTTACTGCCCAAGGGTTTAATGCCAGACGTAAACTCCATCATTACTACTTTCTATCTCAATCATGAGCGTTCATTCTAAAATCATTTTGACATATCAAAGAAGAAGAATCGTGGATATCATGGCCTAAGAGCTACCGACGGGTCCCTCACCACCGGGGATCAACTTGATAATTGAAAGTGTTAGTATGGAGCATAATCAGTAACAGAAAGGGCGCGGCTGGAGGCATACCATGCAGACGTTGTTTCCATTCAACAGAATCTTGGGGAGCTTCACTTGAGAGCCGGAGTAATCGCTGTCGCATGTTTAGTAATGTCTTTACTTCACACACAGAGAACAACAGCTAAGAAAGAAGAGCTCCAGAGATAGGAAGCTCAATCCAGACAGCAGATATAGGGACTTACAACTCAGTCACGTCCTCCAAGACCATGTCTGTAGCAGGTCAGTTCACGCTCTATCTCATACACCGTAAACCGACGATAGGAAATATACTTACTAACGTAGTCATCGAATCCAAGCAGCGTTCCAGCGAATTCTGAATGCATGTTAGCTAGCTAGCTTATCGTCTACCCCTCCCCCGCAGGGAGATGTTCATGCCGACCTTTGTCATTCTTCATGATGACCCATATCCTGGATCCGACACACTTGTCGATCAGTTCTGTCGTGCATGTTAATAAACAATCAATCAAACGATCGCCATGTATACGCGGCTTCTGACAGGGTCAATTACCAAGAGGAAGAAGTTGTGACGCCATTGCGAATTGATTAGGGTATTAAGCGGCTACTTTCAGCTCAGCACGTGTCTCTCAAGTCAAACAATTTATCTCCCCAGATGACTTACTGTTTTTCTTCTAGGTGGAAACAAGAGTCCCTCGCCTAGATCTGATATAGAAAATGAAGCGGGCGGACTGACGAACGGATGCTGGAATGATTCCATCCACACAATCTTGGCGGGCCCCGGTGACAGGGTTTATCCGGCCCGGATGGCCTCCCCCAATCAGATCTACAATTCCGCTCCGCTTCATCGGGGTGATTTTCAGGTACGCCTTGTCGCTTTGTCGGTTTCAAGGCTGCTGGAATGAAATATGATATTTTAATTGAGCAGGGTGTTATATATTTAATTCGTATCATAGTCATCTTTCAGTCGGACTGCTTTGCGTGACTTGTGACACTGACGCGATCTTTTAAAGACCGGTGGCGGCGATAGAAGGGCCGGCGGCAAGCGTCACTTTATTAGTTCTTTTGATCTCGTCTACTATGGCTCTCCGCGAAGCAGCTATGTCTTGGTAATTCTACCCCAACTTCTATCACTGAACAAATGCTTATATCTATGCTAGCTCATTCAATGGGTATTTGTGCCTACCTTCTCTGCATAGCCGGGCTACCATGACAGCCACTCGCTCAAGGTCGCTGCGCAGGCCGTGCGCCTTGGTTAAGCAAATGACGTTGAATAGCTTAACGAGCAGGTTCTCTTCTACTTTGAATAGAAATTGCTGCTTTTCACGTTCCAGTTCGGGCAAAACTGGGAGCTGTGTTATACAGAGCCTGCCTAGAACACGGCATCTCTCATCCAGGATTGACATTTGGTCCTGCGAGCTTACACCCCGGCCTTCACAGGCCAGCGACTCGATACATTGCTACCAGACCTCTCCATATACTGGTCGCCAGATTGCCACTTCTCATAGTCGCAACCTTTCACATTATCTAGCTTCAGAACAAAAAAGATGTTATAGCTCGAGTACAGTTCCGCGACCGATGATTGAGCATATAATCGACAGTAAAGATGTCGGAGAAATCCAGACCCCAGAAACTCCAGTATTACTAGCCAAATCACACACCCTGGCTTCAAGCAACAATGACATAGACGAGCTTGCCCCGGAAAGCCACCCTCCAACAGAAGAGACAAAACCAGTCCTCTCACCAGCCGAGGACTCCCCAACACCCAAGTTCTGGAGCCACACCATGCTCAAAAGCCCTGAAGGCAAAAACATTATCGTGCATTACTGCAAGACACTCAAAAGCAGCGAAGAAGTTGCGCAACTCTTCCTAAATGACAAAATTCTCGGCTTCGACATGGAATGGAAAGCCCAGGCCTCCGCCTGGAACAGCATCCAAGACAACGTATCTCTAATCCAAATCGCAAACAGAGAGCGAATCGCTCTCTTCCACGTTGCCCTTTTCAGACCAGGCAGAAAGATCAGCGACCTCGTCCCTCCATCGTTGAAACAAATCATCGAATCCCCAGACATCACAAAGCTCGGTGTATCAATCAAAGCAGACTGCACGCGTCTCCGCAAGTACCTCAAGGTCGATGCGCACGGGATCTTCGAGCTCAGCCACCTCCATAAGCTGGTAAAATACTGCCAGACTAACCCGAAACTCATCAACAAGCGCCCTGTCAACCTGAGTGAGCAGGTGGAGGAACATCTGGGGCTCCCGTTGGAGAAGGCGGAAGATGTGAGGTGCAGTGATTGGACGGTATCTTTGAGTTATCGTCAGGTCCAATGTAAGTCTTATTCGTCAACTCTGATGTTTGATAAATGGTTAACGAGTGTATGTCTGTAGATGCTGCATCCGATTCTTACGCTTGTATCTGCTTGTTTGATACTATGGATGCGAAACGAAAGGCTCTCGACCCTCGACCTCCTTTGCCTGCTCATGCGGATTTGGATCTGCCGATTCGTATTGTGCGAGAGCCGACCGTGACGACGGTCCCGGATGATGTCGAGGTGGTCAAGCCTTAGTGGCTTACTTTGCGGAGGCAGAGTAACGATACAGTGAAATTAGATGGTTTCACGGCATATGCATGCTCCCATGAGCAGACGGGATCGTTGCTGCCTGGAACAACATAGAACGACTTGATATAGTTTTTGGTCGGTTGGAATAAACCAGATGTTGGGGCTTTAAACTTCGAAAGTTGGATCTACATTAGATCTCAGAGCTAGAACATGATGTGATACCCATGCTAATATCAAGATATACGGCATTCTAATCAGGAAATAAATAGAAAGTCATTGACAATCGAGACTGTCGAAGTAAATGCGTCTAGAATGAAATGGGGGTATAATTATAGACAAGAAAGCATGATACAGTCATGTATATAAACAGCGCTGTAAAGTCATAAACCATCAAGAATCATCCTCTCAAGGGCAGCACTTTCGACAAGAGCACCTCCTGCCGACAAAGCGGGCACTCTGGCTTCTCCCGTACCCAGTCCCGTACACACGTCCAACAGAAGACATGTCCACAGGTCGTGACACTCGGATCCTTGAATAACTCCAGACAAAGCGTACATTTGCGCTGCTGCCCTTCAGGGATCCAGGGGATCGCATTGGAATCTTCCGAGAAATCGTACCGGGCAGCAGAAGCGGGAAGGAGAGGAAGCGAGGAGGGGTTCTCGAGAGACGGTATCAAGGAAGCTCCATACTGTTTCATACCGCCATCTGCTTCAAGCCCACTATCTTCATTTTCTTGTCCCAAATCGGCCCCGACCTTCTTGATATGCAGGATGCCCTGTACAGCGATTTGCAAGACAAGCAGCACACCCAAGACCTCATAACCCACCCGTTGTTCACCCTCCTCGACCTTTTTCGTGAAGACATATCGCAGACCCGAGAACCGTTTCGAGAGATGGTAATAAGCGCCCGTGAAATAGAACGTTGCGATGCTAACAGCATATATGGGTGACAGCGACGTGATGGAGTCCAGATGCTCGAGGATGTACTTCTGGATCCGCAATTTCGTGAAGAAAGACGGTTTCTTAGCCAGCTTGTTGTCTTTGGCTTGCTCCACTGTTGTTTTCTTGGCTTGGGATGCTTTGAGTTGTTGTCGAGCGATACTGCGTTCCAGCTTCGATCGCAATCGTTGTCGGAAAGCGGGGAGGATTCGCTGCAGTGTCCAGGGCAGCAGGATACTGCTGAGAATGTAACCGGCTCGTCTGGGGAGAGAAGGAAGTTGGAGGGTGTCGTCTTCTAACTGGACCAAGTCGCAGTATTCTTCTCCTAGGGTTCGGTTTCCAATGAAGGTGGTCAAGGCAAAGTAGAGAATCTCGGTTAGGTGTTTGATGGCATCGGAGTGCGTGTGTGCATAGCGAGCTCCGCGGAGAGAGCGCACTATCGAATGAGCTTGGCTTGTCAAGCTCCCTGTCATAAAGACATCCTTTTCATGCGACCGAATGATATCTGGGGAGGTAGCGAAAGGGTAGAAATGAGCCGAGGGAGAGACGGACGGTGTCGGAGCGGAGGTGGTCAAGGAGAGATCGTCGTCGGCCATTGTGAGGAAAGTGTTGAATGGTGAGAGGTGACGGGTGAGAGAATCAACTGGTAGTCAATATGGATGAGAGCTATTCCCTCGTTGGGACAGCTATCATGGCCGGACAAGATGGAGAGAAAGAGAGAGAGAGAGATAAGGCGCGTGGGATTGTATGGCAGCGCCGGCATTCAAGCAGCGGATCCCCGTAAAGGCGGAGGAGCAACGAAGATGCCTCGGTAATACTCACGTGATGCTCTAGACAGCAACAACGTGACCATCATCACATGACTGCAGCTCACGTGCCAAGGGTCATGTCCCAAAGAGGCCAGGCTAGACCCAAAGCGGGACAAGTGCGTGTCGTTGCAAGCCGGAAAGCCGCGCGGAGCCGCTGGGCCCCCGTCCAAAGTGGAAAGCCGACCTGAAACCGGCGGTCCCTGAGCTTCTTCACTTCCCGCTGCTTAAACTGCTTCGCTGGTCATGATTTGAGTGCCCTTTGTGGTCGTCAACCTCACCCCCGAGTCGCTCCTTGATCTCCCCCCCTCCTCCCCCCTTCGCCCGATCAGTCACTGTCGCTACATACTCTTCACTACTGGCTCCGTGCCTCGAGCCTCAACTCGAGTCACTCCGAACCCTCCCTCTCGGTCTCCCTCTGGTGCTGAATTACCGGCGCCGCCGTCTCTTCAATGGAATATGGGTGTCGATCAACATGCTCAATTGGATCGCTTCAGTCTCTTCCTTCCCTTCCCCTATCGTGTGGCGGTAATACTGCTGGCTGGTATGCTACCCCCCCTTGGATGATCCCCCCCTCCTCTTATCCCCGGCATTTCATTCTGGCTAACATTCGTTATCGATAGGTTTCTGGGGTTGGGGTGTTAATCTGCAGTACCTCCTAAAGGCAAATATTGTGGGTGATGCCCCTCCTTCTCCCTCCTCATCCTCCTTCCCTCCGCCTTCTTTTTTCTCTATAGTTATATACTTTCGCTGACTGGCATCTCTTAGGATGTCCCTTCCCTGATTAAATACCCTGCTCGACAATCCTCCAGTCAACGCCCGCATTATGCCTCGACATACCAGCTGTCCACTCTCCTGACCATCCCGCTCGCCATCTCCCTCCTTATCTTCTGGCCCGCCACCCATGGCTCCGCGGAACGCGTCGAGGCGGTGGAATTTATTCCGCAATCATACTTCTTCATAGGACTGTTTATCCTCATCCTGCCCTTTCATCGAATCGCGCGCTCGGGCCGATATCGGTTCTTCATGACCCTGAAGCGCATCAGTCTTGGAGGTCTGGCGGAAGCGCAAGATGGCAAATTCGGGGATATTCTGCTGGCAGATGCTCTGACAAGTTATTCTAGAGTCTTCGCGGACTTGGTTGTTACCTTCTGCATGTTCTTTACCACGGACGTCTCCAGCACGTCCAAGCCCACCCGCAAGTGTCGCACGAACGACTACGTCGTTCCCTTGATCATCGCTTTCCCCAGTATCATTCGACTGCGCCAATGTCTCATTGAATACTTGCGTGTGCGTCGGGCTACCCAGCGTAGCCAAGGCGCGGGCAGCCAGGGTGGCCAGCACTTGGCTAACGCCCTGAAGTACGCCACCGCGTTTCCAGTCATCATCCTGGCAGCCAAGTTGAAGAACTACAACCCTCTGGATTTTTACGGCTACAGTGAGATGAGCCTTTCGCGGCTTTTGTACGTGCTTTACATCTGTTTCCCGTCTTCTGCCAGTGGCTCCTGCTAACCGCGCTCTTTCAACTACAGGTTCTTCTTCACATTCATCAACTCCGCATACTCCTTCTATTGGGACATCACCAAGGATTGGGATTTGACCCTTTTTACTCCGGCACGCCGTAGCCACGAACACCCATACGGACTGCGCCGCCATCGCTACTTCACCAACCGACAGTACTACCTCGCGATCATCATTGATCTGGCCATCCGTTTCTCCTGGCTCTCTAGATATGTGCCCGGATTTGTCTGGATGAGTGAGACCGAATTTGGAATTTTTGTCCTCATGTTCTCCGAGGTCGCCCGTCGGTGGATGTGGGTTTTCCTCCGCGTCGAGGCCGAGTGGAGTAAGTCACCCATCCATCTCACAAGCACGTTACCGTGGCACCTTTCAACTGACTCGTGGCAATCAACAACAGTACGGAACAGCCGCGGTCCTGCCCCAGACGATATCCTCCTTGGCGAGTTTGGCGGCAAATTGGACGCAGACTGAAATCATGCCGCCTTGCCGCACCTTTCTCCTTGTCAAGGGGGCTTCTCACCCAATTCTCTATAAACTGACATGATTTTTGTGTATCCAACATTGTAGCCAGCATTCATTGTTATTGTGATTACGTATGTGAGAACATCTTTCTTCCTTCTGCCTCTTTCTCCTGCCTTTTTCCCACTTCTTGGCTTGGTTTGCGGCGTCTTGGACCCATCCGGCCCTTTCACTTCTTCCAATTTGACTTGACTTGATTTGGATTGGCTTGGCTCCGTTCCTACTATACACTTGTCTGTTTTATACACACCTATATCTACATTCTTCTTTTCCTTTTTCTATTGGGCGGCGGAGAGGCGTCTGTATCATATTATATTGGGCAAGAATAAGGGAAGGGAGTGTTGCGGAGCAGTTCTTGTGTTGTTTCGTATACGCTAAACGTATAGTATAAATCCTCAGTCTGCTTTTTTTGTTTATCCCATTTCATTATTTCCTATATCTTATTCTTTTTTTCCTTTCTTACCATTCTCTTCGGGCTCTTCATTTCTTTCGCTGTAATGACTTTCCTTTATTATTGGGTACCTAATACTCATTCTGGAACTCGCTAGGGTAAGGAAGGACTGCGGGTTGGTCAAAGTGCTGGCTGGTGCGATAATCGGGACTGTCGTGGGACAGTGCGCTCGCTTAACTGGTAATACTAATGGTAATCATTAATAAGATGCGTGCTTTTCTTTCCACTGATGGAGGTTACAGTAATAGCATGGACGCCAAATGGAAGGAAGAGAAGCAAAACATACTAGATAATGATAGAAGGGCGGAACAATAAATAACTAGACAGACACTCGTTGATCGTGAAAGGGGATTAGCCAACATTATGGAACTGGAAATGAACAATATACAATACAGTAATAAACATATGACAGGAAGGGAAGTGGAAAGGATGAACAAACAAGGGATCTGCATAATGGAGAAAATGCCAAACTATACAACACAGCAAAGGAGATAATAGGAATGGGAAAAAGAAAAAAAAAAAAAAAAAAAAAAAAAAAAAAAAAAAAAAAAAAAAAAAGGATCATCGCTCGCACAGCAGCATAGATAGGTCATATCAATGTCTGTTCTGAGGCGTACTGTGATTATCGAACAAGTCCTCCAGGTATGCGCTTGGTGTGCGGCCCTGAGGAGGAGAAGAAAGATTCACGCTGCTGGTAGAAGGGTCTTCCATGCGGGACCGTCTGGCACTACGACGGGGCGTCGTGTCTTGTTCATTGGCTGCCGGTACTAGACCTGGTGATTCGGGAGGGCTAGGGGCTGATTTGGCCTTCATATAGCCCTGCGACTGAGGTCCCATGCCTGGTAAATCAGCTGCCGAGAAGCGTGCTTCGTGAGTCCGAGGAGGCGCTGCACTGCCGGTGTTGTAGTAGCCAGCGGGGAGATAGGCAGACCGCCTGTTACTGCTGTTGTCGCGATGCATCCCAGAGGTGGGAGAGAAGAACAGCGCGCTGTTGGAGCTGGGGGTCTTGGTGGAGGGGGACCTATGGTGTCGGTGGCTGTGACGGTGGTGATGATGCCCTCCAGCCCCCGACTTCTCGAGGGTTACGCCTGGTCCGGAGGTCGACCTCCTTGAGCGAGATCTTCGCTTCTTGGTGCGAAGCAGTCCTTTGGTTTCGGATGATCGAACCATGGCGGCTTGTCGGACGGAGCGGTTGACTGACCAAGCTACGAGGGCACGCCAGGCCAGAATAGCGAATCCAATGGCACCAAGGACAGCTCCGACAACGATGAACAGAGTCCCCTCGGGCATCTTCGACTTCTGCATGTACGGTGCATCGGCTGTGGGTGGAACAGTGACGATGGGGTAGCCACTGGTTGAGGAAGAGGAAGAAGAAGAGCTTGAGTCAGTTGACGTGGACGTAGCATCTGTCGTCGAGCTAGACGATGAGTCCGTCGTGGTTGCAGCTGAGGTGGTAGTACTGTCGTCTGACGTGGTGGTCGCCGAGTCCGTAGATGAAGAGGTGTCCGCTGTGGTAGCGGCAGTCGTTGTAGAGTCGTCTGTGGTGGAATCTTGAGCGACTGAAACTTGCGCAACAAAGACAATCATAAACAATAGAAGAAGTATGAATGAAGGCTGGCGGGCCCTTGAGAGGCCCACCGACAGGGCTACCATGGTTGATATAGACTCCCTGGGTATCTATCAGATCGAGTGGTAACGAGAGTTCGTAGAACCAACAATGATCGGCGCAGTTAGAGTTGATGCAAAGGACACAAGTTCATAGTCAATAGGGATATGAAGCTGTCAGCAGAGCAAGAACTGAACCGGACGTCTCTGGTCGTAGATTGATTGCATGGATAGCGGGTGTCTCCAGGCAGGCGGGCGGGACTTAATCTCGGTCTCCACCCAAAACAAGAGGGTCAACAAGCAATGGAAATAAGGGTAAGACAATGATCGCTAAGGTAGGGCCGACAGCCAAACGAGAGACTACAGCGATAGCCGCTGTGCGGTTGATCCGTGTCTTGAAAGCCCCCCAAAGCGAGTGATAAGCATAAAGAGAGCGAGCAAAGACGAGGTCTTTGACAAGCCAAGCGGTGGTTGCCCCGTGCCATCCTCGGCCGGCCTGAGGCTACGGCACCACGACCCACGTGATACTCATGGAAGTTATTCTTAGCGGCGAGGAAAGTTCAGGCTATTGGACCATTCACTTCATTTCTAACTTTAATATGAGACATTCCAGGATTCGTCATCAATCGTGTTCGATGGTTATCTACCTCGACCCGATACCTAGTTTGGTGCCAGTTTCCACTTGTACAATATGATAGATTCCACAAATAAGCAAACGCCGCTTCGCTGATATACAGCCTATTCATAATATAGCAAGTTATGCAAAGAAGAAGCAAGACTAATGACACGAACTTGAAAGGACATCAGCTAATCACTGCTGCTTCTTCTGCACGGCGGCCGATGTGTCCTTCTCGAATGCTGCATAGGGAACCTCCAAGCTCAGAAGAGCAGCCAGTCCAACATAGAAAATCATCAGGAAAACCAAGGTTGCAAGAATTCCCATCCAAATGCCTGTAAACGGTCAGGTTATTGTCCTACAGTAACTCAATTTTCGGCTCCACATACCTGGGGTGAAGAATTGGTATTCCTGGAAAAGCGTCTTGTTGGACGAAGGGGTTTGACTGTCATGAGCGGAGTAGTCGCGCTTGAGGTCCATGTGGAGGGGATCCTGCTCCGCTTGGTAGAAATCGGAACCGGTGTCTTCAAGTTCCCTCGGGGACGTGACGTAGAGGATCGTGTAGCCCTTGGATTCCGGGAGTTGATCAATGACATTGAAGAGCAAGCCATCTGCAAAGACAATAAGCATCTCTCTGGCAAGTAGTCTAGATGTTTGGAGCACCTACCGTTGTTCGAAAGCTGCTTCTTCCGCTCAGATCCCACAGTCAGGACGGGCAAGTCAACAACGATGATACGGGACTCCGCAGCAAAATCGGCAGAGTAAGAATCAGCTAATTATTTGCCGTCAGTCACGCCCTTCATCTGTCGACCATTCATACACAAAGGAGCACCTACAGGAAGCGTCGATCACGGTCGATTCAGCCCCGCACTCCTTCTCGAGCAGCTTCTGGACATCCTTCGCCTCTATCTCGCCCACTACTTCATTCACAATCATCTTTGCCCGGATGTTCTTGTCCTTTCCTGTCATCTTCGCACCGAGGCGCGGTGCGGACTGGCGGGTAGCGAAGTCGGTGCTGTGCACACCGGGCTGGGAAGCAATGACATAGTAGTCGGAAGGGCAGCCGCTCAGCCCCGTGGAAAGATCTTCTAGAATAGCGGGAGCAGTCCGAAGCTGTGCCGACGTAGAAGGGATCCTATAGATACTGATTAGCTGGACATTCTACGGGCGTCCCGCAATCGAGCAAGTGTCACGCATACTGGGAGGTCGATGCAAGGAAAAAGGGAGAGGTGTCGCGGATTGCGCTCGCCGTCGTCGCTCCCAGAGCGAGCAGCGAAATGCTTCCCAAACGCATGGTGGTGGAACAGGGGGGTTAGCTATCAGACGAGCGGACGGCTATCTAGAGAACCTCCCGGGAAGAATGAATGATGATGATGTTGGAGCCAGGCTGGTGGATTGGCCGACGACGGCTCGGAGGCGGTCGAGCCAACCACCGGCACGGCTTAGCTCGACTTGTCCCCGGCCGTGACGTTCTGGCAATGCGGCCGTTTTGGAAATTTTTCCTGAACTAAAAAATCCCCGCTTCAGAGAACAACATCGCTTCGTCCATAATTAAAGTCGATCTACTCATATTGTATTACACATTGAATCATGGGGCCGGCGGCAAAAAGGAGAAAGGTGGCCAGTAAAGTCGAAGAAGTTACCTTCGACGCTGCCGACCGCCAGCAGTTTCTCACAGGCTTTCGCAAGCGCAAACAACAACGCATTAAACATGCACAAGAGATAGCTGAGCAAAAGGCTCGTGAAATAAAGCGAGAGGAGCGCAAAAGGGTATGTCTATTCTCTGGCAACCAGTCTTCTTAATTGCAGCATGAACTAATCTGGCTTGCGATCTAGATTCGCGAAGAGCGAACCGCAGAATTCCAACGCGCTCTTGAGGAGCATAAACGACAACTCAAGAGACTGAAGGAGGAGGAGGAGGACAGTGACGAAGACAATTCGAGTTCGGGAAGTGAGGATGAAGGCGACCAGGAGTGGGAAGGATTCGAAGAACCACCAGCTGTGGATTACGAGGCCGAATACATAGACGAAGACAAGTACACAACGGTCACCGTGGAGGAAATGGACCCTTCCAGGGAAGGTCTACTGCGATCGGTAGGCAATGAATCGGACGAGGAGGGAGTGGAGCAGACAGAGACGAAACCTGCACCAGACACCAACTCAAACCCGGCAGGCGACAAGACAAAGAAGAAGAAGACCGATAACAAGCCGAAAAAGAAGAAGAAGAAGTTCCGCTACGAGACTAAAGAGGAACGCAAGCTTACAAGGGTGAAGGAGCGCGCGGCAAAATCCAGGAAGGCACAGGCTCGACGAGACCGCTCATAATATCCAGTCTTATAACAACACAGCACATTTATGAACCAGCATTCGGTTGAGAATACAGAAGCCAGAAGGGGGGCGCTCCCAATTAAATATGCTCTATGTACCTTCACAATGACTAATATGGTAAACAATAAAAGGATAAACAAGGTCACGGGGACAAGCGGAGAGACCGGTTGATGATGCGGATGAAGCCAGCTAGATGACAAGACGAAAAAGATACAGCTAAAATCCGTCTCCCTGCAGACATAACATATAGATCAGACTGTGATGTGCAGGAAAGAAAGCAAGGTAAAAGTATATTTGGGAAAAGGCTGAATCCAGCATCTTCCGGGCCTCGGCGCCATCTCCTTTTTAAACATTGCTGATGGAGACCTCGAGGTCGTGCAGATCCTTCTGCAACTCGGCGTATTTCTTCGCCATCTCCTCGTACTTGCTCTCCCACTGGTCACGAGACGCTTCGAGAGCCTGCACCTTGCGTTCGTAGTGGCCAGCCTTGACGTCGGTTTGGCGGAGCCTAGAGCACCAGCGTAGTCAGTATATGCGTCGCTCCGTTGGGGACTCATGAGAAAGGAGGTGCGGGGAGGGGGCGGGGGCGGATTTGGAAAATAAACGTACTTCTCGTTAGTCTCCCGGAGGTTCCGGTCAGCGTCTTCGGCCTCTTCTTCCAGCAGTTGCAGACGGCGCTGGAGAGCCTCGTTCTGAGTATCGTGCTGAGCACTCTGGTTGGCAGAGTCCTTGGCCTCCTTGAGAGCGGTCTCGAGCTTCTCGACCTCACCCTCCAGAAGCTGGTTCCGGTGGTTGAGGGATGTGATCTCCTGCTCCTTGGCGAGGTTCTCCTGCTCCAGCGTCTTCACCTTGCTCTTGAGCTCCTCAACCTTCTCCTGGGCCTCCTCGGCCTCAAGGCGGAGGTTGTTCATTCTCTAGAATCATGGTGGTCAGTTTTCGGAGATCTCAAGTTTATTTATACATTTCTCCTTCTAGTAATGATGATAGATGGATCATGATGAATGAGTGATGCGGTGGGAGAAGTAAAAGATGCATGTGGTGGTGGTGCATGTGCAGTTCCAGGCAGCTTAGAAGCTACCCCGCCAACAGGGGGAGGGGAAGGGGAAAGGAGTCTCACCTCCTTGATCTTATCCATGTTGGGCAGTTATTTGCAATGAAGGAACGGGGAATATGTATGGTTGAAAGTAGATGTTGTGATGGAGTTGGGTTTGCGGGACGGCTTTCGCTCAGCGATAAACCAGACAGAGATGCAGTAGGGAAGCAAGTAGGCAAAAGGACAAATGGGTTTTGGGTTTAGGGAGAAAGGAAGAGAAGTGGAGGAGGGCCTTTCAGGTAAGGTTGACTTTCTTGCCTGGCCTGGCGGTCAGCCGCGACTAGTGGTTGGGCCCGATCCATTTTTGGTATGGTAGGGGATGCCAGCGCCCCCCTGGATGGCAGGATGGCAGTGCCACAATGGCTGTGGCTGATACTTTACCGTTCCGTGTTACTTACTGTACACTGTCACTGTATTATGTCTCCACGGGCAACCGCCCCGAAAACATCTCGGTTGCGTGACGCTGCATCTAGAACCATGTCGACAAGGTCCGCTCTCCTTCCTTCTGTGCTGACGCGCCGCTTCCAATACCTTTAGCTCCGACCGCCAATACAATCTTACGCCAGTCGACTCTCTTTATCGTTGAATGAGCCGTGTGAATACATAACTGCCACCATGTTGGCTGTACGCGACCAAGAAAACCTGGTCCACTCTCACCAGACCGTTGCCGCGTCGAAACCACTCAATCAAGGCGTGAGACATTTGCAACCCAAGACCCCCGGCGCTCGAGTACCAAAAACGCCATTTAAAGTGCCTTTGAGGAATGATGAGAACGATCCACTGGCCTTTGGGAAGAAAACCGTGAAGGGGGGGAAACAGAAGGAGAATATCAACTTGACTACGAAAAATGCCTTTGTCACTCCGTCGGGTACGCAATGGAAATCCACGACCATGTCCAAGTCGCATGACTTGATCCTTGCCATCTGCTATTCGTAAGGCTAACACGCGTTGCAGCAGATCCTCGTCAGCGTGCCCCTCTTGGCATGAAGACGACAAATGCCAAAGCCAAGGGATTGCAGACGCCAGCACCTCCTGGAGTGACGATGAAGCCAGAGAGAACCATCAAAAGAGGTTCCACCCAGAGAGCGAAGAAATTCGCTCCCTTTGTACAGCCAAGCCAGCCGGAAGTCCAGGCGAAACCGGTAGAAGATGATGTCCCTGACATTGAGTATATGCCGCCCAAACCCAAAGGTTAGTAGTAGTTCCGCGGGATTTTCGCCTTTATCAAGAAGTCCGTTGTCTCTGATTTCATCGCAGACCTTCCTGATATTCCGGATGATGTCACTTATGATACTACATTTCCGCAATTCCTGCCGAAAAACCTCGCTAGAGGGTTGGAAAGCGTGTATGGAGATAATGAGGTTGGACCCGATGGGCTCACGAAGCGCGAGCGGAAATTTCAAGAAGACTCAGCTGCTTGCGACAGAATGGTTGAGGAGATGATTCGGAAGCAAGTTGAGAGCATTGGCTTCGAGGAAACGTACGAGACCGTTCCAGCTGAGGAGCCGCCTGCAGCAGACGCTACGCAACGCCGGATCGAAACGCGCTCGCGAACGAGAGCGGCCAACAACAAGAAGAAACATACCAGCAATATCTCCACAGTTCGAGCTCGTGATGCTGCTGCTGCTCTGTCCGGGACACAGCGTTCTATCCCACGCACCAGACCCGCTGTTTCGGCCAAGCCTAGGGTCACTTCTTCCTTGTTCCCGTCTAAGAGATCAAGAGAACCGACCAATCCGTCGAGTATGCGGCAAACGGCCGCTGCTGCAACTTCCCAGACGACAGTGGGATACAGTAGGGGTCGCGAAGTTTCGTCCAAGTTGCATGGCAGGACGGCCAGTCCAACAGAGCCGGACACAGTCCCCCAAGGAATACTATCACCCGACACCTATCTGCAGCCCTGTGGGACTCCACCACTGATCGCCGACACCATCGGGCTAGACTTGGAGAATGCGGAGGAGGGTCTTCCAACATTTGACGAAGATGAGGAAGCTCAAAACTTCCAGTTAACGCTGTGACGTGTGATGTGTGAAGAACTAAGGCGAATACAGAGGTCTACTTCCGGCGTATCATATGGGGTTCAATGGGTTCATGGTAGATGAGTGGTGTTATTTTTTTGCTTTTCCGGTCTACTTATTTTTGTGTCGTCCATGTTTCGTTGCGCCCGCCACTGTGTAGGTATTCTTTTTCAGAAGAAACCCGATAGTGTCAGCAAAACGGAGCAGTGGACCTGAAAGGGGGGCGTTATACGGAGTAGTTATGATGTATCTACGATGGGTTACTGTGTTACTATCCTGTTATGACTTGACGAGTCCCACGGAAGACCCCGGCGTGGGGCTTGTCCCTATTTGAGCAAGAAATTGGGCTGTATGATTAATGGACACGTTATCCTCCCCGGCGGCCCTTGAGAGTCAAAACATTCGTAATGGACCCTCCTGTAGTGGATGTTGCCGGCCCTCAAACAGTGGTTCACTCCCAAGCTAACCGTTTGATGGCTCAGTTGGTTAAGCTGGTTAAGGGGCACCTTCACTTGCCAGGCCCATGACTAAGCCCACTGGACCAAGCAAAAGGGGCCACGCACCGCAGTTGGGTTTCAGACCCGATGAATAGACCAAATGCCAACCTTGGATAGGGAAGTTGAGATCGGTGATAAAGATAGTAACTCATTAGGAGGTGTCCTGGTTCCCGACCGCGGAACCTGAGAAGGTTGTACCTGTTCTGGGTTGTTTATTAAAGGCATCCTCGGTCCCGAATAGTACTTTTGCCAACTTTTCGCAAGACAGAGAGAAGTGAGAGAGAGCCCCAATATACTAAATCGATACTAACTAATCTATGCGACGCTCACCGCTTGTCCCGGGCGAGACCCAGTTGGACCACTTCGTCTAGAATCCTTGGAAACTTGTCGGAGAATCAACACTTCTCCCAGCCTTACAGTAAAAAAGCTGCTGCTGCTGCAGTGGTGTTCATGTATTTAGTAGTAACTTTCCATGTTATCATCCCACGTACGTTTTTAATGGCTGTTCCAGTCCCTGTAGCTTCACTCTGTAAATTATTAGACCAATTAACAATGGGGAGAACCAAAAACAAAAGCCCGCATGTTGAGAGAGGAGGAACTTCTCTTGTTCTTTCTTAGGCGCAGTCTTCCGAACCCTGGCGGTTGATCAGTTGCTCAAGCAATAATCCACTTGCTCCCGCCTCACAAGCAATCCTCCTCTTCCCTCTTTTCTCCAATCCTCTCCTCCTCTTTCCTTCTCTTCCTCCCACCTCTCCTCCTCCCTCTCCCTCCTCCCCTCCCCCTCCCCTCTCGACAATTCGTCTCCTCCGCCATGACGAATATTCATCCCGAGTCCCCAGAGGACTTCGAGTTCATCGAAACTCCACCCGCCTCCTGCACCACTCCCGCTGACGATTGCGGTGTGCGGACTACCTCGGTGAGTTGTACCACATGGGGAGCTCCTGAAGAGCTACACCAGTGACCTTAACACATACCTCTCAGAGCAGGACTGGTCAATTCCAAATGTCAATAGGCTAATCTTTTCTCGTTCTTCCTAGTATCCGGCCATTAAAAATGCCCCCGTCCCCGCGGATTCTCAGGGTAGCGATAGCTTCTCCAACACCCTCCTCTTCGCTCTCCTCATCCTTGTCCCATGGTATCTTGCCCGCCAGATTGGTGGTGGTTTCTACACCACCATCTTCTTCGCCATCTTCACCACCGTTCCCATTCTAATGGCCTTCTGGTCCATCGCCTCTTCCATCTCTCCCCGCAAGAACGAAAAGGCCAAGTATGCTGGTCGTCCCGTCGAGTACTACTTGAACTTCCACAGCGAGCATGACCGTACTGCCTACCGCGGCAAGAGCAAGATCCCCATGGAAGTCTTCTACGAGAAGTACTTCAATGGCGAGGTGGACTTCAAGTGTGATGCCCTGGAGGCTCTGGAGTTCAGACACGACTGGGCCAACTTCCGCTTCACCATGGGTCTCTACAAGCACTTCCTCTTCGGTTTCATCCCCGAGATGCTGATGCACACCCGTTCCCAAGGTACGTGATTATCTTCAATTGCATTTAGCACGGTGGGCCAGATCTCGTGCTGACTTCGAGCTACTTCGGTAGATGAGGAGCAGGTTCGTGACCACTACGACCGCGGTGATGACTTCTACGCTTGGTTCTTGGGCCCCCGCATGATCTACACTTCCGGTATCATCAGCGACCCCAACAAGGAAGAGACTCTCGAGGAACTTCAGGACAACAAGCTGGCTGTTGTTTGCGAAAAGATCGGTGTTAAGCCCGGTGACACTATCCTTGATCTCGGTTGTGGCTGGGGTACTCTGGCTAAGTATGCTTCGGTTCACTATGGTGCTCAGGTCACCGGTATCACCTTGGGTCGTAACCAGACTGCTTGGGGTAACAAGGGTCTTCGCAATGCTGGTATTGAGGATTCTCAGAGCCGTATCCTGTGCCTTGACTACCGTGACGCTCCTCGGGTTGATGGCGGCTACAAGAAGATCACCTGTCTCGAGATGGCCGAGCACGTCGGTGTCCGTCACTTCACTTCCTTCCTTTCTCAGGTCTATGACATGCTGGACGACGATGGTGTCTTCTTCCTGCAGATCGCTGGTCTGCGCAAGTCTTGGCAGTATGAGGATCTCATCTGGGGTCTTTTCATGAACAAATACATCTTCCCTGGCGCTGACGCTAGCACTCCCCTTGGCTTCGTCGTTGACAGACTGGAAGCTGCTGGATTCGAAATTAAGAGCATTGACACTGTTGGTGTTCACTACTCTGCTACTCTCTGGCGCTGGTACCGGAACTGGATGGGCAACCGTGACAAGGTCGAGGCCAAGTACGGCAAGAGATGGTTCAGAGTGAGTGTTTTAAACCCTGGTTCATTGTATATGACAGGATAAGACTAACATGTGACTACCTTCCAGATCTGGGAATACTTCTTGGCTTACTCCACCATCACCTCCCGCCAGGGTGGTGCTACCTGCTGGCAGCTTACCCTCGTTAAGAACATTAACTCCACCCACCGTGTTGAGGGTATTCCCAGCCAGTATGGTCTCAGCGGTGCCCGTGAGGCCGCCATCGCCCGCGCCGGCACCGGCGCTCTCCCCAAGGCTCACGTTCCTAACAAGGCTTAAATTTACCCCCCACGGCAATACCACGAATCTAGTAGGCGTCTTTGAAATAAATGACGGCCTCTAGATCTGATTTACCGTCCATCTCGAGGGCTGTTGCACTTTCTTTGAAAAATCTATTCCAGGAAACGGACTGGAAAATCTAGAATGTGGAAGTGAACAAAGGAGGATGATAACGATATCTTAAGTTTTTCTTATCTAAGGTATGTCCTGAATGAGAGGAGAGTGGATTTCTTTTCTCATACGGAAATGGAAATGAATGACACATTACTTTTATGTACAATGTTTCTGACCTATATACTACTTCTTTTCTCTTCCCAGGAAAAGTCTGTATGTAATTGATAGCAAGCAGAATGAAATCATGTAATAATGAATATAGAAGGTGTGATATGTAGCGTCGGCTGGGGTGAAACCGCAATAGGATGGTCTGACGATACTACTACATTCTAAACAATATTCTATCTTGTAACATTTCTCAAAGAGCAACATTCTTGTTGCGCTTCTAGATGCTTTTGATGCAGATTCAACGACCTAATATTCTTTTTGTCTATAAATTAGGTCTAGTGATTATATATCTTATTTCTTTAAATCTATATATTGTAATAGAGGGTTATATTGTATTAGTTGGAGGGTGTACAAGGAGTAATCATGAAACAATAGGGTCCAGGAATATATGAACTTTTAACTACCTCCTACTCTTAATGACTCGTGAGCTACTAGTCTTGTGGGTGGAATATAAGTTAGCGCGAAGAAATGGCCAGGGGTCCGTCCCCAGGTCATGCCACCCAAACGCCGACTACGAAAGAATACGGCCGCGATAGCCATACAAGAGAGCGGATACATCGGTTCCCCATCAATGGAGGATACAAGGAATCTTGTCCCACTTGCCTCCGCCCCGGCAAAGCATCTCCCTCTTGACGCCCACAATGGCTCCTGTGAAACCGGCTCGTTGACCCCAGTCCGCTTCAACTGTCAAGCCTGTGTGCGCAAGAAGATCAAATGCAACCGCGCGGTGCCCAAGTGTGCCAACTGCATCAAGACCAAGCTCGAGTGTGTCTACCAGCCACCGCCGCCACGACGCAAGAGGAAACGTAGCCAGGGCGAGGAAGATGTACATGAACGTCTGGCACGTTAGAGCGCATCTTGCACGACCACAATCTTCTTCCGACAGCCACCCCCTCGGTTATCAGCGGAAGAGACTTGGAGGCCTCAGCAAATAGTATACAGGGACAGACTCCAGGGACAGCGAACTCGCAGGCTGACGTTGCAGCCAATAAACTGCTTCCCAAGTATGGCAATTCTCGCCACATTGACGATGTTCTGCTCCTCGACGCTGGCGAAGGTGACCTGGGTGAGTTGTCCGTGTCCGAGTCCGAGCAACAGAACCATCATGAAGATGAGCCTGGTCCCGACAAAGCCACTCCAACCGGTCTTCTTGGTGCCCTTGCCGCGCATTCCATCTCGGATGCAAGTACGAGAAGCGCGATAAGCCTCACCGACCTTCACCCTAGCTGTGAGCATGCGGCTAAGCTCTGGTATGCCTACGTGGAGAACGTCGAGCCTCTTTGCAAGGTTCTTCATGTTCCGACTGTCGCCAGGATAGTCCACACCGTCTCCAAGCACCCAGCGACTGCCTCCAAGAACGATGAATGCATACTGTTTGCCATTTACCATTTCGCCGTATTTTCAATGTCCGATGACGAGTGTTCACATGAACTCCATGATTCCAGGGCCCAGCTGATGCACAAATATCGGACCGCAGTCACTCAGGCATTGGTAAATGCCTCTTGGCTCAAGACAACCTCGTTGCCGGTTTTACAGGCTTACACTCTCTTCCTTATCTCCTTGCGCACTCAAATCGATTCTCATACATTCTGGATTTTGACTGGGATTGCAATTCGCCTGGCCCAGCGCATAGGATTGCATCGGGACGGCGAAAGCGTCGGATTGCCCCATTTGAGGTCCAGATGCGCCGGCGGCTCTTTTGGCAGCTGCTACCCTTGGACAGCTACGCAGGTCAAACATCCGGCACGGGTATATCCATCTCACCAGACAGCTGGGATACTAAGCAACCGCTAAACATTAACGATGACCAGATGTTCCCCGGCATGAACGAGCCGCCTCATGAAAAACGAGGCGCATCAGAGATGATATTTTGCTTGGCTCGGATGGAGCTGTCAAATTTCTACACTCGAACCGGGGTCCAGCTGAAGGGGAACGGGGGTACAATCGAGTTCCGGACCCCCGAGGAGATCGAGCGACTGATTGACGAGGTGGAAGACCTCATCGAGAAGAAGTTCTTGCGGTACTGCGACATCTTGAACCCCTTACACTTTCTGACCACCGGCGTTATGCGATCCGCCATTAGTGCTGTCCGGTTACGCGCGCGGATGCCGCTGCTCAAGCAAGAAACTATAACCGACACACAGCAGAGACACTTCTGCACCCTTGCCGAAAAGGTCCTCGACACCAGAAATGTCATGTATAGTAATCCCGCGACTCAAAAGTTCCGCTGGCAGATGCAAGCGTTATTCGTGTGGGATTCCCTCCTTTGTATTCTGAGGAGCATTGCGAAGGTTGGATTTTATTCGCCATCAGAGCTTGATGCTGCCTGGAAAAGGGTTTCAGAGGTCTACGCGAATCACGAAGCACTGCGTCAGGGCCGAAGGACCTTGTATGCTACGATTGCTAAGATCACTTTGAAGGCCTGGTTACTAAACCCGCCTCGTAATTCAACTCCCGAACCGGATTTTATGACCGCGCTGCGCGCTCAACACAAGCCCAAAGAGATCGACCAGCGGCATGACAGTACGTTTGCTGCCCATCAAGCTACAGATGGGGCTTTCTATTTCGATGAGCTTTTCGACGATATGAGCAGGGCTGATCCCAATATGAACAATGCCTTCAATCTCGACCCTTCTGCCGATTGGCTATTCTGGGACCAAATGTGTGGAGAAACCAGCCTTGGTTGAGGACAAGGAGACTCTCACGGCTCCGTTCTCGGTCCTCGCAGACTTTGAAATAACGTGTCTGTAACTCATGAAAGAGATATCATGATCTATGACCCCTATCATCACTTACCATCTCACCCGTGCCGCTACCTTCCTCGCCCGACGCTTCGGCGACTAGCTGGAAGTGCGTCACGCATATCGACTCAAGATCACCTCGGGATCAAGCAAGCAGTCATGCGTGTGCTCGCATGAATCCGGAGTTCTACAAATGCATGGTTCTATGGGTTGGTTTTATCGGAACAAGCGTGAATAATCCACGGGGCAGGTCAGCAACGAACTAAATGAGTACCGATCTCGCATTCAGAAGGAGAATTTCTCTATGACAACTGATTTATAATACAAATACCCATACCACCCGCCCGATCATTCTTCCATCCACCCAATGACAACCTCCGCCTGGTGGCTTCATTCCAGGCGGACATCAATCCCACCTCGCATGCCACTCCAGCCCATTCAACCAGAGGCATATTCAGACATGGCACGCAACCGGGGCCCGTATTTCCAGAAAACAAACGGCCCTCCCCATCCGAAAATCATGGCCGTAAAAGCCAACACACTGGTACCCCAACCATACCCCAGGGTGTTATACATATAGGGAGCAAACAGCGGGAATCCGAAGCCGCACAAACTCCTCAGCACGGCACAGGCAGCCATAGCGCTAGCTGCGTAGGTTTGATAGCTGTCAACAATATACGTCTGCATGCCCTGCAGGCAGGAGATGGTGCCCATGGTGTAAATCAGCGCACCGATATTCGGCATAATCCAATGGGTATTCCCAATGCTCCAGCCATACCAGAAGAGCCCGATAGTACTGATGATCGAGCCCACAGCCAACGACGGCATTCGAAACTCGGGTTTGCCTATATTATTGTTCCGGGCTTTGAGAGTCCTGTAGATACGGTCCACCAGCTTGAGGTTAAAGAAGAGCCCGATGAACGCTCCAATCGCAATGGAGAGATAATTGAGGCCCCCAATCCCAGAGCTCTCGTGGTAGACGTCGGTCCAGATATCCGGGAAGGTCGCAAACATCAAGTACGTCACGCCGAAGAGATAGGCCATATAAAGCGCCATACAGAAGACAATCGGCTGAGTCGTGAACATCCGCACCGGCCGCTCAAACGCATGAAGGAGCTTGAAGCCGAGTGTCTCAACTTTCTCCGCGGTATGAAGCTCCTCATTTCCTGTTTCCTTAGCAAGAACGTCTCGTCTCCTCCGTAGAATCGTCCCCGGATGGCACTCTCTCAACCAGAAAAACCCAACTACCTGCACTGCGACAGCAGCAGCAGAAGTAGCCCAAAACACCCATCGCCAGGTCGAATACTCGGCAATGAACCCGCCCGCAATCGGTCCAATCACAGGCCCCAGTAATGGCCCCAGAGTATACACCCCCATAGCTTTCCCCCGTTCTTCCGCGGACCACATATCACTAGTACCAGTTGAAGTCAGTGGAGTGCAAATGCCGATTATATATATATTCAAATCCATCTTCAAATGTAACCCACTCACCTAATAGCCCCCCCTCCGATAGCCAGCGGCGCACTCCCCCCAATCCCCGCCAAAAACCGAAACGCAAAAAGCTGTCCCTTCGTCCTCGCGAACCCGCATCCCAGATTCCAGGCCAAATACCACACATTGCTGAGTTGGAGTAAACGCACTCGACCGTATAATTCCGACGCCGGACCAAAGAAAACAGGGCCGATGGCATACGCGAGAATAAAGATACTCAATGAAAGATATATCTCAATTTCCGCATGCATGTCCAGCGATTGCGCGAGATCGTTCATGGCCGGGGCGATCATTGATGACGACACGGGCGAGATGAAGACGAAAAGCGAAACCGACCAGGTATTTTGCCACTTTAGGCCTCTCGGCCAATTCTTGGGGTTTTCTGGGTCATTGGGGCTGTTCCAGGTGATGAGGTTGGGATCTTTGGAGGCTTCGGCCTTGCTGGGAGAGTTGGGGGTGAGGGTTTTGGGGCATGCTTCGAGGTCTTGGTCTTGGTTGGATGCCATTGGATGTTTTTTTTCGTCTCGTTTTACTAGTCTTGAGGTCTAGTGATAATATGTATTGAGGGAGCTTGGAGATGCAAGACTTGACTCTTGAGAAACTCATTGGGTTCGTTATATATATATCCTTATATAGTATTATTGTTATGGTATACTACCTACTTGTATGGGTGATGTACACCAGCCAATCGCAGAGCTGGATTTTGCTTCGGGGCCGGATTTCCTGCCAAGGACCGATGCGGTGGCCAATAAGAGACGGCTATGGATCGGGCCCGAGGCAGGTTGGTCTGGCAAGCAATTTCCGACGGGCAGCTCTTACTATGATTATAGATAACTGTACTTCTATATTTGAACGACTAGTTGGTTGTTGGAGAAATGAAGCATGACCAATTGCGAATGAATCCATGTAATTCATGGTATATACAAAGTAATAGTTATACTATCCCTCCAACGCCAGCAACGTGCTATATATCGTAAATCATACACCTTCCCTGTCCCATATACATCGCGGAATCTCTAATCCATGCGCTTGTACAGCTTGGCCTTGCTGGATCCTGCACTGCAGCAGGAAGGTGGTGCAGCAGCAGCAGGGTCCGGGTGGAGGGTAGACTTGTTGAAGGACTGCGAAGACTGCGGGACATCCACGGCCGGGTTCTTTGTGAAGAAGCCATCTGGACGCAGCATCACGCTGATGCGTTCCATGGGCATGACAGGGAAGTCTTCGACGCGGGGGTTGTGGGTGATGCCGAATGCTGGAAGTGAGCGTGTTAGATGAGTTGACCTCGATCTCCATTTAGGCACGACGGAGTGGGGGGTGGTAGGTGGGGAAAACTTACAGTGCCAGAGGACCACGTCTTCGTTCTCGGTAGGGTCATTCCGCTTGGACCAGGTCTCCACGCCAACAGCGCGTCGGCTCTGGTTGGTGAACTCGCCCGCGGCATACAATTCGTCGTCTTGGTATCTGGTCACCCAGATGGGCTTGGTGGCGAATTCGGCACGGCCGTAGCCAATGGCTCTGCTGCTCTGGAGGAGCATTTGACTAGGTGCTGGGTGGAGCTTGTAGGAAATGGGCTTGTAGGTGATGGGGTTGATGACGTTGTCGTTGCGGATCTTAAAGACCCGGTTGCGGCTGATATCGAGGTCGGCTGATCCTGCCTTGTCCATGACCGTCTGCTCAGTGGTGTAGCCTACAAGCCAAGGGTTCTTCTCGTCTTCGGGGAGAGGTACACTCTCCTCATAGTAAACAGTGTTCTTGTGACCGTCCAGGGCCGGGTCAATGCGGAAAGAGAACATGTGCTGGTGGTAAGGAGCCATCACGCCCGGACCAACGTTGGTGCCCCATTTGACAGTCTCGCCATTGGTGTTATCAAAAGGCACCGTCGATAGAATTCCGGTTGCGCGCACTTCCAGTTCAATGTTGGCGGCCTGGTCGAAGATGTAGGCGAAGATGTACTCGTAGTTAGCGACGGTGCAGATCATCTGCAGGACAAGCTGGCGATTGCGGACCACGGTAGCGGCGCCGGATCTGTAGTTGGTGTGCTTGTGTTGCAGGCCATTATCCTGCTCGTGCATGCAAATGATGTTCTTCAGCAGGACCGGGTTTCCCTTGCAGTCTGCCCGGTAGCCGTCAAAGTACTTGATATGACCCAGGCAGTCACAACCCAGCGTTAGCTGGTTGGCATTGAGACCAAAACCGACGTCGCCAACGTCGAAAGCTTGCTTGCGGTGGTAGGGAGCGCGAGGGTCTATCACCCATGTTAGCATGATTGTTTACATATAAGTTGTCCAGTTCTGCCTACCTCCATAGGGGACGGTCATTTCTGATACCGCAAGGCGGTAGAAGACACTGCGGTTATCATAGGTGACGTTGTAAAGAACCATGCCCTCCCGGTTGTTGAAGCCTACCCTGAAGCGCCACTTCTGCCAGTAGACAAAGTTGCCATCCACCGAGAAAGAAGGTCCCTCGGGTTGCTGCACAATGTAGGGCTTGAGGTCTGTCCGGATGGGCTCATCCTGCAGGTCGTGGGCATATTGAACTGCCTTGACGGGCTTCCAGGGCTGGGTTTCAACTGTCTGTGCATCCGAGCCGCCCGGCAGATAATCCATACGGATCAACTCATGTGTAAAGGCATCGAACACCGGGGAGAACTTGCAAGGCAAGGAATAGTGGTTGTTTTCGGGGTGGTCCATTTCCACCATGTACATGAAGCACTGGAACATTCGTCTCGACTCGGTCAGACTCTCGGTGCCGTACATCCATGGGTCATTGCAGACAGTCATGCCGGGGGGTAGCTGGAGCTTTGCAATTTCCGCCTGCACTGCGGGGTGCTTCATGCAGACTTCTTCAATAACGGCCAATTCGTCGATATCCACCGGAGGCTAAAGGACCAGTTATTAGCGCAAGAACAATATAGGTCGAATCCAACTGTACACACCTGGACTCCCTCCGGCAACTCCTTGACGAAAATGACGGACGCGGTGTCAGCGTTCATCAACGCCTTGCACCATGCGCCGGTATCGAGACGATAGAAGTAAGAGTACAGAAGACGCGCGGGCTTCGGAGGAAGGGGTTTCCTTAACCTCTCTGCCTCGATATATGGAATCACATCCTTCTTGATGGGTTCGTGAATATCAATGCGATTGTAGCGCAGCTTGACACCCTGGAAGGCAGCTTCCAGGATACGGACAGCCAAGCGGATTTCCTGAGGCCGGATGGGATCAAACGGGTGAGGGCTGGCCGAAGTGGCCAAGCTGGGCCCCTGAGCTGCAAGTGACATGTTCAGAAGGCGGGTATGTGCTTGATTGAAGAGATGACGCTATTGAGGAAATAATGAAGATAGATTGGGACAGAGTCCTTGGGGGAATTAGGTCATATCAAGTTGGATGAGACTGAACAGCAAGTGTCCAATGCCCGGGGGGGGGGGGGGGG